AGCATTTTCTGCATCATCCAAGTTGGGAATCAATTTGTTTTAAGTTACAAATCTTTAAATCAGCTGATAAAATTTTTAGATATCGACAATAACAAGTATTAGCGGTATCAATAACAAGTATGCAGTAGTAAAGAGTACAAGATTATTTTTTTTATTGGTTTTTTTTATCTAAGTAATTTTTAGCTTACTATAAATATATTTGAGGTAGTGTGCTTTCTAATGATTTACGAAGAACTTTCTTCGGCAAAATCTCCTTTATGAATATATCACATAAGTTACAGATACGGCCTCACTGTCTCTCAAAGTTGGTTCATCCTTTGCACCGAAAATTTTCTTGTTTTCAGATTTCAAAAAGTTGTATTTCAGCATCCGCATTTAATCTTTCTTCTGCAACAGTATTGTTATTAGTGCAGCTTTGTATCTTTTAGAAAATTTTTAAATGCTGATATTGATGGTTTGGGATTCAATTCCCCTATAGTACGGCTTTCCAGATAAGTGATGAGTAAGGGAATTGATAAATATCCTCATGAGCACGATTAACATGCGTTATGAGCAGTAATAGAGACTTTAATATTACTCTTTTTCAAAAACCTTAAGTGTGAAAGAATTCAATCTGAATTAATCAGCGTATGTTTCGCTTCAAATGTGCCTCAAGAGACTAGTTCATTGATCGTTGGTGGGATTATTGATTAAAAGCAAAAGTTGACCTTTTAATGGAAGGTATGAAACCAAATTTTAAACATGCCTCCGAACACCGACAAATGTTTTTTTCTTGCTTGCACCCCTCATTTCACTAAGGGCTGAAAGAAATAAATGTAAGATCAATATAAGCAAAACTGAAAGCAGCTGCTGTTGCCATTCAAGGAAAGAATAATATACCGGTTGCCATTCCTACAGTAAAAAATAAAAGTTGGCTGAAATGTGCAAGAAGCGTGTGGAAAAAATAATGTGTCGATTATTTAAATGCCTTTAAAGATTTAAATGTCCATGTCTACAGCGAGACTTCTTGTAAATATTTAAAATGCATCATTTAAAAACTTTTTACGTATACATCACTTACATTTTTTTTTGGGGAAACAAAATAAAATAAAATTTTTTGACTTCATGAAACATATTTAGTCCTTTGTCCCTAAACTGGACGAGTCCATTTTTGAATTCCCCCTTAACAGTCGCATTGCCCCCTTTTTGGGGTGGCCCCACGTTGGGAAACACGACTTTAGATCATAATTGCTTTTTTTCAAAATTATTTATATTTTGCATGCTTAAATTTTGATGATCTATAACCGAAAACCCCTATGGGAAGCCGAAGTCCCGACAAGTCAGATTGAAGACTTTGTATGTTTACAGGGGTGCAACCTGTGGCTTGCGAGGCACATGCGTCTCTTTGAAGGATTATTTGTGGCTCTTGATAATGTACCTGAGTTGCCATTTCATTTTTGTGTTTTTATTTTAAAAAAATTATTATTCTTCTGTATGTGTTTCAAATGTCTTAAATACTGACAACAAATATGAAAACAAGACACGTGCACGTTTAATCAATTTCATTTCCCTCCAAGCAAACTCTCTTCCTCTCCCCAACATCAAAACGCCTGTGTCTATGAATTTCTCTTGGAATGCTTTTTCCTATGACAACTTAAACACTACATTGCTAACAATAAACCTTTTAAGTAAAGCGAGAACTTCTTTGTTGGAGGCTTTCACCCTGTGTAAAGTTCCCCCTAGGGACGGGATTGCAACTTCGGGCATCAAAAGTTAAACATTGACAGTAAACAAAGTAATAGAAGGTGCATTAAAATAACAGAACTGCTTTTAGTCGCTTCAAATGAATGATTGACATGTCATTTAACAACACCCGAAAGCAATGAGTAATGTGAAGAGGGAAAGCACTAGGTAGGAAAATATTCAGGCATTTGGTCCAGCCAATGTCTTAATGCGACTCTGATTTTGAATTTGTAAACTTTCAATGCAACGGGCAGTTGACATTGTGCTCTGAAAAAACAATTTGTATCACTCTTGCTACAGATGTAATTTGTAATCTGGAATTTTTGGTAAGTTAATTATAATTTGTTTCGTAGTATGTAACATGTGTTATTATTGTTTTAATAAAACAAAACATGTATTTTCTAAATTTATTTATTTCCAGTTTTTTTTTTTTTTTTAAATATGACGACAGAGAACGAAAATAAAAAAAACAAATACGAGCAAGAAAATAGAAGTTTTAATAATGAGTGCGACGAGTATTCCTTTTTTATTGACAATAACGGAAAAGCTTTATGTGTTATTTATAATTCTACGGTCAAAAATTATAAAGCTAGTAATTTACGTCAACATTATGAAACCAATCATCTTCAGTTTTCTAATCAGTATCCACCAAATGTTAAGATCATATAAACTTGCTTCTTAAAAACCAATTTAAATACACAACGGCAATTTGATGATCTTAGCAAATCAGCTAATAATTGGCTGAGCAGTTTTGTTATGCCTGGAATATTGCTAGCACAAAATGCCCGTAAGAAAGGAGAGTTTATTAAAAAACTTGGAAGATGTACTTAAAGTTTTAGATCCAAATAATCAGCATTGCACAAGTTGTTTCTCAAATTCCTATCGCGAAGACACAACTGCAACGAAAAAATGAAAGCAAGTCATACATCTTTGAATGTTTGTTTCACCTGACTTCGTTGTTGTTTAGAAGAATTATTTAAATTTGTAGCACTTCAAGAGTCAACCCGCAGTGTCGATATTAAAACTGCATTAGATTCCATAATGAAAACTTTTGATGTGCCTCTTGATAAACTTGTAAGCTTTGCAACTGATGGAGCTCCGGCAATACTGGGTAAAAAAAATCATTCTTATAGAACTTTTAAGAGATTCAACTCAAATTCCACAATTCATACCGATTCACTGCATAATTCAGCGAGAACATCTTGTTACAAAATATTTAAAATATCCTGATGTTATGAAAACAGTGTTATACATTGTAAATTACATTTGCACCAATGCAAAAAAACATCGACAATTCAAAAATTTCCTTGAAGAATTAAAGGACGAAGAACTTCCAAATGACGTTAATTTCTTTTGACATTAACATTGTTAGATGGTTATCTAGTTACACGTATTAAATAGATTTGTAGATTTGTTTGATCTGATAACTGCATTTCTAAAAGAAAAGGAAATAAGATATTCAGAATTAGATTATGACGAGTGGTTACAATATAAGGTATCTCTCCCCCTTTCCTAGTGTGCTTTCGTGGTGTAGTGGTTCTGTACACTGGGCTGCTATTCCAGAGGTTTTCTGTTCGATTCCCGGCGAAGGCGGTTGCTAATTTTTCGTCTTGCCTGCTTCCAAGAAATACCTAATGCCTCTAGAGTGGCACCCGAACTAAAAGGGTGTTGGATGAGAATTCTCCACACCCAAGATTTGGCAATTGCTTAACCCCAGTTGCCCTTTAAAAAGATTAAGAACAAAATACGAGCAAGAAAATAGAAGTTTTAATAATGAGTGCGATGAGAATTTTTTTTTTTTTTTTTTAAATAGTGGGAAAGCTTTATATGTTATTTATAATTCTATAATTCTATATTATATAAGGTATTTCTCCCGCTTTCCTAGCATACTTTCGTGGTGTAGTGGTTCTGCACACTGGGCCGGTATTATAGAGGTCCACGGTGCGATTCCCGGTCAACCTGCGGTTGCTAATTTTTCATCTTTCCTGCTTCCAAAAAATACCTGTCTCTACAACAAGATATTTTTGACTGACATCATGGAACATTTGCAAAGACTGAATTTACAACTGCAGGAGAAAGATAAAATAATATGTGGCCTCTCACAGTGTATTTTAGTTTTCAAACTAAATTACAACTTTTTCAAAAGGGCATTAAATATAAAGCATTTTGTCATTTTCCTCAAATTAAAAAAAATTGTTCCAATATTAAACAAGAAAAACTCAACGAGTGTATAAAAAAGCTAAAAGGAATATTGACGGAATTCCAAAATAGGTTTCAAGACTTGAAATATTTTAATTCATTTCTTGATTTTTTTTTTGAATCCATTTTAAATTAACATAATTCAAGTTGAGTTTTCCATTTCCAATATGATTATGACCCAAAAAACATCTGGAGAATTAAAATTAATAGAGATGCAAGAAGATCAAGCTCTACAATTAAAATATAAATCGACGCCGATTACTGAATTTTGGAAACTTGCACCAGAATCGAAGTATCCGGAATTAAAAAAGGCTTCTTGTCGAATTATTTCAATATTCGGAACAACGTACTTATGTCATTTATCCAAAACACCGATCAGATTAACCAGCAATCTCTTACTGAAAGTTTTGGATTATCAAGAGAAGTAAAATAAATTTGTTTAATTTATAATATTTTAATTCAATACACATATTTTGTACTTTTATTTATATGTTTTCAATAAATATAATTTTGCAAAAAAATGTTTTTAATACCTTTTTTGCATACTTTTTAAATACGTATTTAATTGCGGCTAGCGAAAAATTTCAAATTTAGACAAATGGCTCGGACTATCAAGGAGTTTGGCCAGCCCTGGTATATTACATCTTTTATAGTTCAGCATTGAAATTAAAATCAGAATCCAGATAAAATTGATTAAAATTAAAATATGTAATGAATTGGAAGTATTTCTTGAAATCTCTTTAAAATTGTAATGAATATTTTTCTTATCTATATTTTTAAACATAGAAATTTTACATTTAATAGTTTTGGTTCATTAGTAGCTGAGTGGCTAAAGCTGTGGAGTCAGTAAATTAGCTAAACTTTATTCTTCTCAATTCAACGAGTTTGCTGCATTCAGTTTTTGTGGTTTTTTTTCTTTGTTTAATTTGAATATGAATAAATTTCCCATAAAAAGGCACATCTTGTAAGGCAGATAGCCTTTGCTTGCTTCTCAAGGCTTTCTACCTTGGGAGAGAAATGATCAAATAAATAAGTATTTAATAATTTAAAATTTTTTTTTTTTTTTTTTTTTTTTTCAGGCAAATGCATTTCTCACTGAAGGTTGCCTTCTTCCATTTTTATTTGATTTGTACAACAAAGATCAAGGATGTATGGATTCTAAATCTAGGATAACATCTATTTTAGAAATTATGTGGTCTCTTATGGAGGTAAGAATTTTCTTTTCTTCTCCTGAACCTATCATAAAAAATAACTTCAGAATTTATAGTTAAAGCTTGAGTTTTCTGTTATAAAGAAAACAGCTATTTCTGAAGTGTCAAGTGTCTTGAAGAAAATTTGAAATGTAAAGTGGTTGGAAAGTAATGTTGTTTATTTTAGTCAAATTAAAACAAATAATTTTATAGTTTAATTTTAAGTCAGTAATGGAATCAGTGTCATCGTCTATGATTTCTGTGACCTAGTAGGCAAATTTTCAGTTCAGAATTTGGGGGCCAGTTTTATTTTTCTGAAAAGCTTAGTAATTTTATTTTTGACCTAACAGATTTTGAAATTATTTCCCCTCAAGAAATATTGCACTGACCTGAATAAATGATAATCACATGTCAATCAAGTAAGGTAGGTGAGGTAATACCTCCCTTCCATATTCTTTGATTTTATCCAGAGTCTTTCATGTAGAGTGTGGTCTTGCATTATCATGCTGTAGAATGACTTCTTTTCTGTTAACAAGAGTTAGATACTTTTCAGTCAAAGCTTAGTTACTCAATCTAAATGTTGGCAATAAATGTCTGCAATTGTTGTGTGGCCTGGTTCTAGCATTTCAAAATGGATTATGCCCCAAATATTAACAAACAATACTACCTTTCTATGTAATTAAGATACAACAGTACCTTTCTAGGTTATAAGCTTGACACTGGAGTAGTTCGTATGGTTTAATTGGGAAAGAGCCATTGTTTTTTCTGTTTGGAATTGTCATAAAGGATTCATTTCTCATCTTTAGTCACTACACAATCAAGAATGAGTTTAGGTTAGGTTGTTGTAACGAAAAGTTACAGGTGCTTAACAATTAGCATTTTTTTTCCTGATAGTGTGCGTGGAACTCATAAAATCTGCTGCAAGCATTCCTGAATTGTCAACAAATACGGACGAAGTTTATTCAATAACATTTTGGTTATTTAACAGGGATTTCCTTCCACTTTTGCCTGTAAAATATCATTATGAAGAAATGCTCATCTTGCTGAACAAGATGAGTTGCAAAGATCAAAATTACCTGAGGTAAACCGAACAAACAACTTCTGGTATATACGGACATCTGACACTGGCTGGATAAAAATAACAAATGTTTTTTATGGCTTTAATTGCATCATTACCTTTCAAAACAGGAATAACATACAATGTCAAAAGGGCAACTGGTTTGTTTTTGGGCTTGACTTTTCAAACATGGGCCTTAAAATAATGAAATTAATCTATCTATCTATCTCTCTCTATATAAAAGTCACTTACAAAAATATTTTTCGGAACTTGTTCAATCTTTTGATTACTATTAAACATATGCTAATTATATGTAAATACAACATTATTTTCTAGTACCCCCTTACACTGGGTGCCAAACAAGGCGGTATTGCATAAATTTAACTAAAAGCTTTGGATCACATTATACTTTATTTGCCAATATTTGAGCTAATATTTGCAAAGTTAAGCAAATAACTTTGAATATTTCTGAATTTTACAAGGTTTTTTTTTTTTTTTTTTTTTTTTTTTTTTTTTAAATTATTGCAGCCTTAGTAACTGAAAGTTAAAATACACATCTTATTTTAAATAACTTAAGTTTTATTTTTGCTACATATGGGAATGGATTTGCTCTTATTATGTAATTGCTGAATCTGTGTAAAACTTAGCTTGTTACAAATATATGTAATTTGGATCATTTCATATTATGCACTCTTTATTTAATTAGTGCTAAGAATCCTCTTTTTCATATACTATGCTAAAGCAGCAACCTGCTTAGAGGCCTTCTCATGACAAATGGACTGTGGGTGATCAAATGGACTGTGGGTGACAAATGGACTGTGGGTATTGCCAGCCATTTCATGGGAATTTGTGAAGAGCTGTGGGTAGAATTGTTGCTTTAATGTGATCCATTAATAAGAATATTCTTGAAAAGCACCATAATTTGTAAATAAGAATATGTAATTCTGCTGTCTTAAATAAGTGTGTTTTTTGTATTCAGTGTTGTAATCTTGGTGTATTTTTTTCATAGCCTCATGAACTGCATCAGTGTTTGGAATTCATAGTTGTTGCTCTTTTAACTGGCTATCGATTTGCCCCAGCTACGCCAGAATTCCATGAGCAGAAAAAATATTTACTTTTGACCTTAGCTCTACTTCAGCATACTCCTACCAAACATTTTTTATTACAGAATGTTTTATATCCTTTGAAAAACTTTTTCAGTATTATAGTATTAGTTTTATATAGTATAGTATTAGTTTATTATAGTATAGTATTTCAGTATTAGTTTTATATTTACCATAACTTGTATAAACAGAAATTATAACTTGTTAATAACACTATGTTTTTAGTATTACATGCTTTCTGAGCAGAAAATTTTTTAAAATGAAAATATTTTATTTTTTAGTATTTTCCTAATTATTTAATTTTTGTGAAGTAAAATGATTTTTTTAGATATTTTTTCATCTAATAAAATAAGTTTTCCTTATATTGTAACTTAAATGAGGAAAATGTTCATTTTCTGACATAAATATCATGTTACATGTAGTGTAACATGTAACATACTTTGCGCATTGCCATGTAAATTCATTCTGAAAAAGGCTGCTAAATTTTGACAAAATCAAAACGCATTCAGATTTTAGTTATTGTTCTTTGATTAAAAATAAATGAATAAATAATAAATAGGAGTTTGCTATAAAAGTACTTATGCATAAAATAGTTGATTATTAATTTTAAATTTAAGAAAAGAAAGGGAATTTCAAAAACATTGTATGAAATATAATAAAAATTTGAATTGAAAATTGAAGTTTTGTGGTTAATATTTTTTTTTTTCATTTTGAAGTTTCAAATATACATTTACTCTTTTCTTAAATAATTTAATTAGTTTCATTTAATGCTTTTTTAAAGACATCCTTAAATTTAGAAAGGCTTTTAGTCTTTGAAAGGGGATGGGTATTATGAAGTATGAGTTTTTATAAATTTATAGACCTTTTATTCTGTTTGTAAAACATATGTGAAATGCACGTGACATTTGTGATCAATAAAATGCGTTTAAATTGCAAACTGTTTAAAAAATGTTCAATTTCCATTTATTGAAGCATTGTTAACATAATTTATAATTGTTAAAGTATATATGGTATCTTTGATTAATTGGTGCCTATGGTAGGTAGTCCTTCCCCTTCAACTAAAATAATCTTTTCTTTATTTAAATTCAAAAAATAGGTTGTTAGAATGAGATTTTCAACATAGAGCGTATGTTTGATGTCGGATTCTTTTCATCAAAGCCAGAAATGTGTTCAACCCTTAGAAACAAGAAATAATACAGTTATATTTATAAGCAAATAATTTAAATGTACACATAATATGTGTGTTATGTTAATATATGCAATGAGTTAATTTTTTAATGTAAGCACTTCATATTTATGCTCTTGAAATGTTTAGTAGTTTTTTTTTTGTCCCATTTTCACTTTTTGTTTCTCAGTGTTTTTTCTTTGACTTTAATTACATTTGATAAAATAAAGTTTCCAGTATTTTTAGAAGTGAAACCTCTAGACAATACTGGATTAGCAGAAGTTGTTCCTGAAGTTTGGCTTGATTTCAAGCAGGAAGTAAAGTTTTGGACATAGTTTATTTAAAAATACTTGAATTTTTAATTCATACTTGAATTTTTAATTCATTTAAGTTGTTTTCATTTAATAATTTTGTTTGAATTTTGTACCTTCAGATGAATGAGCCCGATTTGTTTCGTAAAGCTTGCTATCAGAAATCTTGCACTCATCTGAAATTGGTTGTTAAAGGTTTGAATCATTTAATATTCTTGTTTACATGCTTCTATTATTTAAAAATAATAATAATAAAAAGATGACTGCAGCAATGTAATAGAATTAATGTTTACAACTTTTGAGGGTTGGCAGTGCTTTACAGCAATGTTTACAGTAATTACTCTGCATCCACCAACAGTAATACATGGCTGGTTGAAGGAGTGATTGGCTTTCAGTTTCTAAGGTGCTAGGTATATTTTGGCGACAGCAAGATGTCTAGTATGTTCTATTGGCAATAATACAAGTAAATTACTTCATCCATTCTGTCAGACAAGTAAATTATTGTTGACAGAAGCAGTTTTGAGAAATTATTGTAAACATTGCTATGAAGAAGCACTTGCCAATCAAGGATGATACAAGGAAATAATTCATGTCTTATTTCTTGTGTTTGTGCTTCAATGTCTCACTTGCACTCATTTGTTTGTATACTCATTTGTTTGTCATAGAATTTGTTTTGTACTGTACCACTTTTAAAGTTGTAACTATCAATTCTGTGACATCCTGTATATACAAATTATTGTACCATGTGTGTTTGTGTGTTTTCACCATAACATTGAAAACTTACACATTAGTTGATTACAAGATAGTATGGATTGTCCAGTGTTCTGTCTAACAAAAGGCTCTGAACATTATTTTGTAATGATAAACAAGATATATATAGATAAAGGAGATAAAAAAAGGAATAATTTATTAGACTTTGTCTATTATAAAATATGGTCTAAGACAGTGGTCTCAAACTCAAATTGCATGTGGGCCGAATACCTGATCTGAAAACAGCTGATGAGCTAAAATTTTTTTTTAAACGAAAATGAAAAATTTTATTTAACAAAATAAAGAATATTTTAAATAAATTTTAAATCTCATTTACTAAATATTTATCAAAAGCTAAACAATAATATCGCAAAGGAAAAAATTCAAATTTATTTTCTGTTTAAAATACAAAGTTTGACACATGCAAGACATTTTTGTTGGTTACATTTTGTAATTGAAATATATTGACAGTTTAATTTACTTTATTAGTAAATTCTTAGACTGACATTTCTTTCAAGTAATTCTGGCATGTTTAATGAGTCATTAAATAACTTACTTGAACTAAAAATAAATAAATTATGAAAAATTCATTTCAGAGAAAATTTACCAATTATCGCAAAACTTGAAAATAAATAATAGCAACCGAGTCTGTTTCTCTTATTTATTTTCTTCAATGTATAAATAAAAATGCATATTTTTGCATGTTGGGCAAGGTAATAGATAATATTCCCTACGTATCTTTACCATCAATCATTTTAAATAACTTCATTGATTTAAAGTTAGCTCATCCATTATTTTACAAGTCACTACCAACTGCATTTTATTTGGTGTAAATGTATTTCTGCATCTAATGACAGGAGAGATTAGAAGAGCTCAAATCTTCCATTTGTGCTAAATTTGAGGTTAGGCTTGATAACTTCAGGTATTACAAACTTTGAGTCAGCAGAAACCGATCCAGTATATGTAAGTAATTTGAATGCAAATACAGATGAGTTAGTAAGTTCTTTCTCGGAGTTGGAAAAATTTCAGAGTGTAGAACCTTTAACAGATGAAGAAAAATTCTATGAAGAACATTTTGAAAGTTCTCATTTTAGAGACAAAAGAGGCCATTATTCGTTTGCATTGCTATTCAAATATTATAGAAATATTTTTGGTGATTCCCATGAAATGATGCACAGAAGATTTCAATATTTAAAAAAGAGACATTCATGCCAGAAATTAACAACCAATGCATTTAATTTATGAAAAAATATTTTTCACCAGGACATAAAGAATTGTTGTCAAATGTAGATCATGAATTAGAGAATAAACACTATTATATCTCGTATCTCTTCATATTGAAGGAATCTAGCTTAACAACAAAACTGAGAATAGTTTTTGATGTGACTGTTAAAACAACCCCAGTTGTTCCTTTAAATGGTACATTAATAATAGGCTGAAAAACACAAGATGATTTAATATGTATTTTACTAAGATTTAGACTTCATAACTTTGCAATATCTGATATATGAATAATGCGTAGACAGATAAAAATTTATGATAAAGATTGAGACTTTCAGAGAATTTTATGGAGAGATAGCCAAGATAAAGAAATACAAGTTATTTAAACACTGTCACATATGGAACTGCAGCCTTTCTATGTCTTACAACCGAAGCTTTAAATCAGTTAGTGATTGATGGAGGATTGAACATTCTGATGGTAAAGAAAGTAGTTTTAAGAGACTTTTTGCATTGTTGATGTACTTCCTGGTGTTAAAGAAATTCCGGAAGGCATTGCGTTAATAGATGAATTGCAGAAAATGCTAAAAAAGAGTGGCTTTGAGCTCTTTAAATGGTCAATAAGTGAATCATTATTGTTAAAAAATGCTGGCTTAGCAAACATGGGTAATGGCATTATTCATCATGTAGTAGAAAGTAAAACAATTAAACAACTGTGACATTAATGTAAAATTTGTGACAGCTAGAATTCTGTAGCTTTTCTGAAAAATATCATGATTCCAAAACTGGAATTATGGGGAGCAGTGTTATTGGCATGCTTGATTCAAGGTGTTAGAGCTGCATTAGGCATAAAATTTGATTCAGTACATCTACAGAGTTGTTCACAAAATCAAATCCTGTTGGAATGGCTAAGGTTGGATCCTAAAAGGGGGCAAGTATTCGTTTTCAGAGGAACTGTTTCAGACAGAGTTTTCAGAGCTAGAGTCTTGTTGACAGAAAAGAAAGTCAGGCTGGTTGTCCTTCATGTGGGTTATTTCCTGTAGAACTACTGTCTCATGAACTGTGGTGAAAGGGGCTTGCTGGGTTAAAGTGCAGTGAGGTTCGCTTGCCTAAACAAATTCATATATAAAGGCATGTAAAATAGTATAATTTGTAGTTTCTGAAACTGTACAGGAACTTATTGTTATATCAAAGATATCCTCATTTTCAAAGTTACAATGCATATTTACTCATATATTAAGTTTCATATCAAATTCAAAGGTAACACATTTAGAAAGAAATATATCCTTTGTATCTGGTAATCAAAATCAAGCTGAAAACACTCTGTATTATTAAAATAGTACTAATTAATTCAAATAATAGTAGATTAAACTTCAGTAAAGAAGTTCAGTGTTTGAAGATGGGAAAAGATATACATATAAACAGCAGTCTTTTTAGTTTCTGTCCATTTCTAGATGATAGCAAAGTGTTATGAGTAGGAGGAAGACTGAGAAATGTGCAGCTATTGGAGAATGTACTTTTAAAGCACAATCTGACAGAAATCATCATTAAACACTTCCATGGCAAATATCTGCATGTAGTACCATTCCTTTTCTTAGCTGCTAGATCTGTTATTCTAAAATTAGCAAGAACTTGTATTTATGAGTTGCAAACCTAGAGCTCAGACTACAAGTTAAGTAATGGCTGATCTACCAGTACCCATAGTAACACAATCATTTAATCAAGTTGGAGTAGATTTTTCAGAACCATTCCTGATCAAACATCATACATGACATGGACAAAAATCATTTAAATCTTACATGTGTTTATCTGTGTGCTTTGCTATTAAAACAATATACTTGAACTGGTAGAAGATCTGTCAAGAAAAGCATTTTTAAGTGCATGGAAACGATTTGTTTCAAGAAGAGGGAAACCAATTGAGATTTACATCAACTGTAGAAAGATGCAGAGAACAATTTTTTTTTTGTCCCTGTGGAAGGAAAAATAAAGAAATTCATGAATTTTTATCTGTAGAGGAAATAAAATGGATATTTAATTGTCCTTTATCTTTCATTTTGGTGAACTGTGGGAATCAGCTGTAAAGTCAATGAAATTTCATCTTGATAGAACTGTTGGTGATACTGTGTCGAATATATCGTGAAACTTTGGTAGCGCAAGTTGAGACATGTCTCAACTCTATAGGTTCACCACTTAAATGGTGGTTAAGGAGAATAATTGTTGTTCATCCAGGCTCAGATCATATAGTTGTTCAGAAGCGAATGGCATTTTCCAAGAGAGAAGAGAATAGCATAAGAAGAGGATTCAAACCTTGGGATTTACAGTATATTTGGAAATTTTGCAGTGCGTGATTTATTGGAGAGAGACTGGGAGAGAACAGTATATTAATCTGTTTCAAATCTTGCTTAACAAAATGTATCCATGTCTTGTATGAGGTGGGAACTGGTAATGCAAAGTAGATTTTTTACAAGAATGTCAAATGATTTCAAATTGTTTTTATGTTATTCACTTCTCTAAGATCCATTGGAAGGCAAGGATTACACTAAAAAAAAAAAAAAAAAAGTTCTGCAGTTCTGCTAAGTATGTAAGAGAAATTTCAGTGGACTTATTGCAAGCTTTTGTCAATGAACCAAATGTTAAATATGGGAAATTTACTACCAGCAGATTAGCAATTTTTTTAACTGCCCGAACATGCCTATTCCTAGTGAAATATCAGGAATTCATAGCCTATCACATAAATGCAATACCTCACACATTTATGTAGCCTCAAAGGAAGTTATAGAGGCTTGAGTAGGAGCATATATAGCACATCTTGTATTACCCATAATTTACTACAACAGAATACTTTGAATTAGTTCTAAGTTATCTGCAGAGACAGGATTATGACAGTTATTGCAATTGATTACAAAATTTCTTTCATAATAAATAAAAGAAGTCTATGACAGAGGGATGAATAAATTATAACTGTAATATAGTATAGGAATTTGCAGTTGAATCTGAAAATATGAAAACATTTCAGATTGATCTCAGTAGTGATTTGCCTAATAATTTATCATTCTACAAAATCATTGTGAGGCTATGAGCATAGAGAAACATAGTTTCAATGCATCATTTTTGTCACTGACTGTGGGAGAGTGAAGGATAACTCTTTACAATGGGGTGCATGCAGAAAAGGAAAATCTTTTGAAAGGACTTGTAATAATTGATACAGCAACATTGGTAAGGACTGCTAGTGTCTTTAAAAGCATGAGCAATGTGAGGAAATAAAGCAAGTCCAGTAGATATTGTTGTTCTTTTACGTGGAAGACTTTCCAGTGACAAAATCTCATTTTTTTTAGCTATAGTACTGTCGTCTCATGATGCTGTTAAACATGTAGCTATATTTCTGACTCGCTGTGTTTGAAAAAATGTTTTTCTATTTGTTAGTTTTTCCATATGCATAAATATAAGTATATATGAAATATGTACTGTGTGAAAATAAATACACCTGTTTTTTAAATCAGCATTGGTAGCTGCAATTAGCTCTTGACTTCTGACCTCTTTTATTTCTTGCAAGATAAAAAAAGTATTTGATGGGAAAAAATTTTTAAAAACAATAAACCTGTAATTATTAATGCTATACTTATTGAAATAATATATTTAAATGTTAAAAAGTATTTCCTATTGTAAAAACTATTAAAAATGACAATTATAATATCTGTACTTAAAAACATCTTTGAAACATTCTTGATCTAAACCATTTAGTGTTGAAATGCATGCTTTTCTTCACAGCTTTTTTGAAAAAGCCAAAACCACAATTTTAGGAAGTCTCAGATTTTAATATTAGAATACTGAAGCATTTTAAGTAATGAAATTGTCGTTTTCTGGTAGCAGTAGTTTTGATGACTAAATAGGTGTAATCTTCTTTTAAATTAAAAAAATTAGCTTGTTAATAATTTATTTAGTTTTAATAAAAGTGATCTCTTTCAAATCTACTTTATTTTAATGATGTGCAGTATTTCTGAATTTCTAAACGTCTGCAAATAATTGGGTACTTTTTGTTATACACCTGCTACACATTTTGTCAGCTTTTTTTTAATTATAAGTAATTTCTTGATATAAGAATAGTTTATAGATGGCCTGCACACAGCTCTTTTCCATTCTGCATGCACACATATGGTACTTTTCCATTATGCACACATATACTAGCAGGCGCGTAATGAAAAAGTACCAATAACTGCACATACCCTAACATCTCGATTTTAAGATGAAAATACTTATTTAATTCATAATTATTGCATTGAGTATCAAATTAAATGCATCATTTAATTTTTTTGATTGATTGATATGTCACATTTTATTAATCTTTCCAAAAATTTATAGTGTCAGAGACCTTATATATTACTTAAAAGGGTGGTTTCTGTGGCTGAAAATATAGTGCTTAGAGTTAAAAGGATTTAATCAATACCCAGAATAAAAGTAAGTGTAGAAGTTTTTTGATTTGTCAGTGCGTTGTTATTGGAAAACTGTTAAATATATATAGGTGATTTCGCAGATTACAGTTCTTAAAAAAAAGATACTATTTTCAAAATACATCTCGGTTACTACATTATTACCTGTGAAAATGCAGTGCTACAATTAAAGTCATACTTTGAATACAGAAAATTTTGTTTATAGCCTATATTTAAAACATTAATATTGTATTTTCTAGTTATTGCACAATTTAAGAAAGAAAAATAAAGAAATGATAATTTTATTTTTTGCTTATATGTATGACATGTATAATATTGTAATAATTGACTGTTATTTAATAATTTGTAGAAGTTGAACTTGTACAACTCGAAATATTGCTGGAACTTTTTGATGCATCAAATGTTTACCAGGTATTATATTCAGTTTTACAAATAGTTTAATTTTAATACATATTTTTCTATATCTTAATGTATTTTCTTTATTTTTCTTTGAAAAAGTAAAATTTTTATAGATGTATGTTTTATTTTTATAAATTGATTTTTAAATTTTTGCTTTCTTTTTTAGTATATTGTTTGTAGAATTATTTTAAAACATAAGATTTGAAAGTACATAGTATACATACATGCATGTTAAACATGTACATGCATATACAGTCAAAAGTCGTTAATCCGGACTTGTCGGGACTTCGGCGATTCCGGATTATCGATTTTTCCGGATTATAGATCATCAGTTTAAATCTGGTAAAATGGCATGCAGAAATTATAAAATTAAAAATATGAAACCGTAATTTACGAAATAAAGAACAATTATGATCTAAAGGGTATTAAAATTTACAAAAAAAAAAAAAAAAAAAAAAAAAAGCTTAATATTTATTTGTTTACTTTATTAAACATTTCTTTCAATGTAAGTTGTTTAAGTTGCTTCGTTTTTTATGTTATAATACATTCTCTTTAATTCTATAAACAGACATAATTTCTCGTTCAGTTACAAAGTTCCGCTGTTCAAGTCCTATAATTGCTGTGTCGAGAATACCGACTAATTTGTCAATCGAAATTTTTTCGTTTTCAATAACCTCTGTTACTTTCTTCGCTATCGGAAGCGAATTATAATGACGAGGCATTTGATTTAAATCATATCAAAGACCAGATGAAATACTACATTGAGTAAGCAATTATAAGCCAAATAAAATAAAAACATCTGCCCTTAAGATAAGGATAGTGCTGACAGATCAACTTCCAATTCAATGCACACTGCTGCCGCGTTAAAGATAAACAAAGTTTAGATAAACAAACGTTAAAGTTTAGATAAACAAACGTTAAAGTTTAGATAAATAAAGGATATGGCCTTTATCCATTTTTTGCAGCAATACCACTTTTTGTTTAATGGACTCCGAAAGATACTTTCGCTTTGTATATCCTTTACATATTAGTAAATATATATCGGAAATTCTATTTGACATAATCGAAAGTTCAAGCTTACTTTTATAAAATTGCTCTAACAGTCTGCAAAAAATAATAATCCGGATCCAATTCGAAGATTAAGGAACAACGCAATCTGCAACATTAACTGAAATAGATAATTAGATAATTTTAGCTTAGCTTATCCCGTCCGTTATACATTAAACGCGCATTCGTAAACGTATTTTGCGCACGCGCACACGCAAATTCGCAGCGGTAAAGGTCTTACGCGCATGCGTCAACGCGACGCATGCGCAGAAAATTTGTAGCTTTGAGGTCCGGATTATAGATCATTCCGGATTATGGGTGTCCGAATTAACGACTTTTGACTGTATATGCTTTGGAATCCATCATTTACTTCATAGATCAGGGATCTTATGCATTGTCAAAAACTAGAATAGTTTAAAATACAAGTTGAAAATTCTTTTTATTGTTTTGTTTACAGATGTAGTTTGCATCAGAAAATGTAAATAATGCTTTAGATATCATGTCGACACAGGCTTCTTTACTACAGCTGCAGAGTTCTGAAATTGTTTCCATAGCACAGAGACTGTAAATATTCACACATCTTACTGCTTTCATGATTGTTTGCCCTGCTTCTAAATAGCTGATTTGCCACTTCAGAGATTCCAAAATTATCTTCAATGCATGATGTAATGGATTTCTCAGAAACTGGGAGCTATTATTTTATGAATTTGTGTGGAATGATTCATAACATTTAACACATAAAAATAATGAAAAAATTAAGAGCACTGCAAATGAGACTTATGAATTTAATATGAAATGTGATCTGCCATGAATTATACATGCATATTACAATATGTTTTCATGCTGACAATAGCGTTGTTAACTACAATTTGGGGAATTATATTCCACTTCTGCAGCAGTGTGGTCATCAGGGCATTTATGTGTCTAGGAGAAGGATGTCTTCATGCAACTGCTTTTCCAAGGTAGTCCAATAAGTTCTCTATCAGTTTAAAATCAACTGACCATGGTATTTGCTCATTGTCTTGAATTGTACACACATATTACAATACATTTTCATGGTAGCAACAGCATTGTTAACTACAGTTTGGAGAATTAAGTTCTGCTTCTGCAGCAGTGTGGTCTTCAGGGCATTTATGTCTGTAGGAGGAGGATGTCTCCATGTAACTGCTTTTCCTAGGTAGTCCAATAAGTTCTCAATTAGTTTAAAATCAGGAGCTGTCAGTTTAAAAATCAGCTGACCATGGTATTTGCAGTATCTGCACTTTCAAAGAATTTTAGCAATGAAATTTGTTTGATGTGCACGAGAATTATCATCTATAAATAAAATGTCACATTTATATGCTTACTCATACCTAAGACTTTTTAAAAGTCTTACGTAAGATTATAAAATATTATCCCAATATCTCTGGCTGGTCACAGATGCTGTTGAAAAACATGTAGGGGGCATATGTCCATTCATCGTTGTTCCCTATATCATCACATCTGCATTAAAATGGCAACCTTCCATAATGTTCGAAGGAGGATTTTGTGCTTCTGACTTCCTTCAACTGTAAACACATTTAGAATTGGATGGTAAACTAAACCTCAAATCATCAGTAAAGGGAGCTTGGGACCGTTGGTATTCACTCTCGTGCTGATACTCTTTGCAGTAATTAAATCAATCCCTCTTTTGTTGTGAATACAGTGAAATACATACCCTTGGATCCCTGGCATAAAAGTCTTTTTCATTAAACCGTTCAGTATACAGTTTATAACAGTATAACAGTTTTAGAGGCAGCTGCAAGCTCTGAACTTAATTAGCAAGCAGTAGCCTTGTTGTTACGATGGGCAGGTTTTGCCTGATACTGATCCTGAGAAGTAAATGTTTTTCATTTATGACAATGCCCAGACTTCTTTACTACAGCTGCAGAGTTGTGAAATTGTTTTCATAGCACAGAGACTCTCTAAATATTCACACATCTCACTGCTTCCATGATTGTTTGCCCTGCTTCTAAATGGCTCATGATTTGCCACTTCAGAGATTCTTCCATGTGATAGTTTGGAGCCACAACAAACTGTGTTGAGTCCTTACAGAATGATGTCAGATGCTATACAGTCAAAAGTCATTAATCCGGACTCGTCGGGACTTCGGCGATTCCGGATTATCGATTTTTCCGGATTATAGATCATCAGTTTAAATCTCGTAAGATGGCATGCAGAAATTCTAAAATTAAAAATATTAAACCGTAATTTATGAAATAAAGAACAATTATGATCTAAAGGGTATCAAAATTTACAAAAAAAAAAAAAAAAAAAAAAAAAAAAAAAAAAAAAAAAAAAAGCTTAATATTTATTTGTTTACTTTATTAAACATTTCTTTCAATGTAAGTTGTTTAAGAAGTTGCTTTGTTTTATGTGATAATGCTTTCTCTTTAATTCTATAAACAGACATAATTTCTTGTTCAGTTACAAAGTTCCGCTGTTCAAGTCCCGTTAATTGCTGTGCCGAGAATACCGACTAACTTGTCAATCGAAATTTTTTCGTTTTCACTAACCTCTCTGTCACATTCTTCATGTCTTTATCCATTTTTTGGAGCAATTCCACTTTTTGTTTCATGGACATCGAAACATACTTTCGTTTTGTACGATCTTTTGGGAGCTCCAGAATCGGAAATTCTTTTTGACGTAATCAAAAGTTCAAGTTTACTTTTATAGTATTGCTCTTACAGTCTGCAAAAAATAATAAGCCGGATCCAATTCGAAGATTAAGGAACAACGCAATCATCAACATTAACTGAAATAGATAATTTTAGCTTATACCGTCCGTTATACATAAAACGTGCACGCATATGCACAGTCGTAAAAGGTCTGACGCGCATGCGTAAACGCCTATGCGTATGTATCAACGGGGCGCATGCGCAGAAAGTTTTTAGCTTTGAGGTTCGGATTATAGATCATTCCGGATTATGGGTGTCCGAATTAACGATTTTTGACTGTATTATTAAACTTCACTCAGATATTAACTTTGAGCAAAGCTCTCATTCACCATCAGATGACATGATACCTTGGTTTACGTATCAGAAAAACTATTTGAACACTTTTGATTGAATAATGCTGAACAGGCTTGTCTTTTACACATTTCCTGCAAAATTGTATTATATTAACTGAGTGTTTCATGGAATATCATTATTTTTGATATGTAAATATGAATTTGGACATGAGTTTAGTATATTACATATGCATACACACACACACACATATATATAACAAATATTCTATCATTCGTATAAAGCTAATTTAAAGCAAATGTAAATTTAAATTAAAAATTAAGAAAATTTAATTGTTGCTGTGAACTAATTTGCAAAATCATTCAAAGTCAGAGAGCATATGTAAATTAAGGGCAAGTATCTAAAACCATGAAAAAATATATAATCCAAAAAAGTTTTATCCTAAAAAATTTTAAAGAATTTTTAAGACTAAATTAATTTGCATAAAGTGAATAATTGTTGAGCAGGCAGGAGACACATCTTTTCAAGGGGAAGTTGCCTCCAAGCCGAATTCTTCAATTACTCAATTCGTGTTTCGTCATCCATCTAGGCATGGGTATAGTAATATTCAAAACCAAATGTAGTGAATTGCTTAAATATATACAGTCAAAAGTCGTTAATTCGGACACCCATAATCCGGAATGATCTATAATCCGGACCTCAAAGCTACAAAGTTTCTGCGCATGCGTCGTGTTGACGCGTAAGACCTTTACGGCTTCGCATAGGCGTGTGCACATGCGCATAATACGTTTATGCATACACGTTTAATGTATAATGGATGGTATAAGCTAAAATTATCTAATTATCTATTTCAGTTAATGTTGCAGATTGCGTTGTTCCTTAATCTGTGAATTGGATCCAGCTTATTATTTTTTGCAGACTGTTAAAGCAATTTTATAAAAGTAAGCTTGAACTTTCGATTATGTCAAAAAGAATTTCTGATGCTGGAGCTTCGAAAGTATCTACAAAGTGAAAGTATATTTCGATGTCCATCAAACAAAAAGTGGAACTGCTGCGAAAAATGGATAAAGGCATATCCTTTGTTTATATAACCATTCTAGAATTTGTTCATCAATTTCACGCTGCTCTGCAGCAGGGCGGGCGGGAAACGTCGCGTCGCACAATGAGTTGGAAGTTGATATGTCAGCACTATCCTTATCTTCAGGGCAGATGTTTTTATTTTATTTGGCTTATAATTCCTTACTAAATGTAATATTTCATTTCGATGTACTCCGTCTTTGATATGATTTAAATCAAATTCCTCGTCATTATAATTCGCTTCCGATAGTAAAGAAAGTGACACAGAGGTTATTGAAAACGAAAAAATTTTCAATTGACGAATTAGTCGGCATTCTCGACACAGCAATTATCGGACTTAAACAGCGGAACTTTGTAACTGAACAAGAAATTACGTCTGTTTATAGAATTAAAGAGAAAGTATTGTCACATAAAACGAAGCAACTTAAACAACTTACATTGAAAGAAATGTTTAATAAAGTAAACAAATAAATATTAAGCTTTTTTTTTTTTTGTAAATTTTGATACCCTTTAGATCATAATTGTTCTTTATTTCATAAATTACGGTTTCATATTTTTAATTTTATAATTTCTGCATGCCATCTTACCAGATTTAAACTGATGATCTATAATCCGAAAAAATCGATAATCTGGAATCGCCGAAGTCCCAACGAGTCCGAATTAACGACTTTTGACTGTATGTACTTATATATTAACTTATAGTTGACTTTTGCAATTATAAATTGAAAAAAGTAATTTTTTTCCACAAGAAAATTTTCTGTACGGTACAATTTAAGCACCTTTTTTATGATCAATTAAAAATTCCATGCATATTCAAAAAGTGTCAAAATCTGCTCCCTGACAAACAGCTACAAGTTACAGCCTGCTTCAAATTTGAAAAAACTTTAGGTAACATAGTAATTAACCACCACAACGTAGTAACTAACAGCATTTGAAATTGCAAGCTTCCTGATTACAATAAATTTATTGATCCTTTTCACCAGTATATAATCACAGGCGATCTTAGCATCATTCAAGGTGAGCAACTACGACAACTCATGCAACTAGGTGTCAAATTCTGTCCTACTTTTGGTCTTAATAAACACTATTGCTTAAATCAGTTCAGAAATGATCTTAATAATTTCATTATTTTGGCTAGTAATTGCATTAACTTACTGACGACAACATTTCTTGAATGGAAAGTAACATAAGTTTAAAGATTTTAAACTTATGCTTAAGCTACCTAGTTTCAGTCAAATCCACAATAAGAGGCATGTAGAATCTCAAATTAATATGCTGCAAGAAAGTTTTAACATCACCAAAATCGAAAAAGCAAGTAATAATTTCAGTGTCATATGAAAAAAAAAATATTACAACATTCTACATAAAGAATTACATAGCACCTGCGCCTATCAACATGTCTCTACCAGCACTAAAATACTTTTCAATAAATTTAAAGCACTTCATAAAAGACTTAAAACCTGTCCCAACAAATTTAATAATAAGTTTGCAAATCTCTATTTACTTCCGAAGTTTCATAAAACTCAAGTCAAATTCAGATATATGGCTAACAATACCAGAAGTTATTTAAAGGAAATAGATTATCTCTTTCAAAGAAACTTAAGCTCATTCGAGATGTTATCAATAATATTGATTTTAAAGATCAACATTCCAACTGGATGATTTCAAGCAACGAACAAGTTCTTAAGACTTTAAATTCACTTAAAATAGAGCATATCCAATGCTACAATTTTGAGAAACTTTATACTACTTTACTACTGGAAGAAATTCATAGTAGCTTGCTTACTTTCCCTAATTTATTTCCAAAGATCACTACAATTTTATCAACTGAAATTGGCAACATTTTCTTGCAAGTGTAATTTTTAACAATTATATTCAATTTAATAACAACATCTTTAAACAAGTACCAGGTATACTTATGGCTGGTAACTTTTCAACCACAATCTGTGAACTGTTCCTTTTTACCCAAGAATTTAAATTTGTACATTCACTTAAAATAGAAGATAAAAAATATTTCCAACACATATTTTGTTATATAGATGATGTTATTGCAAGCTAGTATTTACCCGACTTGCCTCAAGTTTAATACTACTAATACAGTTCAAAATAAAGTAGTTTTCCTTGATTTACATATTCTGGATCACAATCTTTTAAAAATCTTAGACAAACGCAGAGATTTCAACTTTCCTACACTTAAATTAACTAACTGGAATTCTAATATTTCTAGAAGAGTCATTATCAGTACAATTAATGCACAACTTCTTAGAATTAAAAGAATATGTAATAATACAAAACACCTCCAAGAAGAAGTACTCTACTTTGTTAAAATCTTACAAAGCAATCTTATTCCAAATACAGTCATTAAAAATCATTAAAAAAAGCTGGCATTTACCTGTTTTTTACGTTATTTGAGTTAGAAAATGAAATGTTTTACTTAAATCCCATAGGGAAGGTGATTAATGGATAGCTAATTCAAATGATCTAATGTAAAAATGTAAAGTTAATTCCTCTCACAACTTCAATTTTACTCTACGTTTGGCTCAGTACTTCAAATTCTTGAATAAGAAACTTAAGCTTTATCTGGCCAATCCTATCCTTTTATTGATTTTTAAGGGCCATTTTCATTTCGTGTAGCTTGAAGCCCTCTAGCTTGAAGAATTATGACTTTAATTAACAAATTACTGAATTTTTCAAATTTCTACTGCTTTCTGGCCAAAATTTTTACCATTTTTTGGAATTAGCCATTTTGAATTCACCTCCTCTCAACTTTCTAGTATTTACTTCGAGCAAGAGGCCATTTTCAAAAAAATTTCTACTATCTTCGACCGCTTAACCCCCCCTTTTTGAGTTAGGTGGTGCCAACTGTCTGTTACGTTTCATTGGCCATAGCTTCATGACGTTTCTTTCCCTTTTTACGTCATCTCACCTTATTGGTAAGCTAAATTTTTATCTTTTTTGGAGGCAAGTGACAATTTTAGCTCATAGCTTTTCACAGAAGAAGTCGCAGATTTAGCTTTGTTTAAGATTTTTTCTTTCCCTTGTTTTAATTTTGGTCATAGCAAGACCCAATTTGATGCACTTTTAGTTTAAAATTTTAAAAGTTTCCTTCTTTTACTAAGTTTTAACGCTTTAAGCTAGTAGGTCCTCCCTAAAAATCTTGTATTATTGACTAAAGCAATTTGCTATTTTATTCTGTACATTTGCCTAACTAGTCTAGTCTGTATAGTTTTTTTCTTACACCATTAATGTGTTTCTCATTTACTTTTAAGCGGACGTGTCGGGAAATGAAGCAAAGAAATTGAAACTTAAGTCTTAGTTTGTCGGTTTAATAGTCAGAAGCTATTTTGTGTTCAGTCTCAATTCTTCTATTTTGACGAAATGCGATATGGAATTAGCTGAATTTGATCATTGTGCAGTTCCCCTGAAGAGTCCGTAATGAGATTCAATTTAGGCTAATTTACCATTTACCGCTTCATTGTATTTTTGCTTGTGTCTTATATCACTTTTGTGTGTATGTTTAAATGTTTTAGGATTGTTTAAACTTTAATCCACATTTTTTAACATTTAAATTTGATCTGAGTTTTACATTCACTTTTTATTTGTCGTTTTCTTGTCATAATTTCATTTATCTTGTATTTTAACTTTTAATTGCAATTTATTTTAACTTAGTGTTAAAAATTATTCACGGGAACCACAGTGTCACATTTGCTTTAAAGGAATGGCATGAAGAATTTTCTTTTTTACCTTGTTTTCTAACTTTGTAGCTCAATGCGCAAAATTTTTTACCACACAGGTCTTTTTTAGTTTGTTATTCTTAAATTATATATATATATTCCTAGTGCGGGCACTAGCCATTATAGGCTTTGGCTACTACTAAGGCCAAAAGCAGTGGTCAATTTTTTATGAAAGCATCTAATAGATGGGCCACCGTTTCCTCCTATGAAGGGACAGACAATTTACATCCATCCATGCCTTCTCTGAGATTCGAACCCAACCCCTTCATTATAACAGTCAGAGTCACTAACTACTTTCCCATCTGCCCGCAATATATTTATATATGTATCATTTTGCCATTGCATTGAGAGAAGGATGTTTTCTAGCTTTTTTCTAGTTTTTTAAATGTTTTATTTTGTAACAATCATTGTAACAACTTTTGTAAGCTTCTGCAGCATGGTATTAGAGTCAGCAATTATTTTTGCATTGCAGGAATTATTTTGATATGAAAAAAAAAAAATTAATTGTTTTCTGATAACCATTCCATATTCAGTTTGGAAAATAAAAATGGATAATGATATTACACATATTATATTTTAGAAATTAACAATTTCTGTATGTGTGGAAAATTTTAAATATTCTGAACAGTATGTTTTTTTTAATAATAGTTCATTACTTGTAATTGTTTGCATTGAGTTTTCTACAGTGCTATTGTGATTACAGGGACAGTGCAGTCGCTGCATTTTTTTGTTGAAATTAAGAGAATTTCTGAAAGAAAATTCTGGAGGAGCTCGGGTAAATATATAATATATCTGTAAATCATTTGTCATACATATTCTCTGATTTTTAATTCTTGTAATTTTTTCATGCTTTATAATTTTATATTTCAGGTTCCAGTTGTCCATTTATGTCCACTACCTGTAGCTTTAGCTTTTTTCCATCGTTTGATTTCACTTCTTCGTATATGTGTGTCAGCATCTGGCATTGATTTAAATGGCAAGATAATCATTTAGTATATTATTTTTTAAATTTAATTAAATTTAACATTTAGATTTGATAAAATTTTATTAGATTGCTTTTATTTGCTTAGTTAAAACAAATATTCTTTGATTGAAAAAAAATGGAGTTAAAAAAAGCTGCCCCCAGCTTTAAAAAAAAAAAAAAAAATGTCTCTCAATTTCATTTCATATTGTTGATTTGCATTGAAATATATTCATTACTATCATTCTGATCTTTCTGTATGTGAATGATAACATATTTAAAATGAAAAAAAAAAAATAGATATTTGTAACATTTTTATTATCAGTAACTGGCCACTTATTAAAATCACTTCTGTTCCAAACATATTAGGTGGCTTAGTTTAATAGATGGTACTTTGTGCATTACAAATTATAATATCAGCTTTACATTTATCTAGTAAGATAATAACGAATAACTAATCTAATAATTAATACCTAAAATAATAAGTAAAAATTAATGTTGAAATTAGTTTTACACAGTTTGGAAATAAGTTTTTTTTTTTTTTTTTTTTTTTAATATAAAAGTATCTCTATAATTACTTACCGGATGAGATTTTAAACTTTTGCGTTAACTTGTGTTGTTCAACAGTTTTTCACTTGCATTCTTAAGTTCATAAAAAAGATGGTAGTTTTTCTGATCTTTTAGTTCAAGAGATTTTCTTAGACTTTGCAGTTGAACATTTTTGTTTGTAGTGCTGCAATGCTTTTGTAGTTTTGTTTGAGGTTCTCATGTCATCACTTTCTTCCATATAATTTTACTGTCACTCTCAATTTCAGTTTCTGCAGTTTTTTTTTCATATCCTATCTCATCATTATTGTTAGAGCCCACCAGCGGCCGAGCGGTAAAGACGCTGAACACTGGTAGTCCGAGGTTCGAATCCCCCAAACGGGCTGGCTGCATGGGCGTTTTCGTGGTTTTCCCCATGTGTAACGTGTATACGAGCATGTTTCCCTTAGAAAGTCCTCCACGAAAGGCATCCCTCCTCTTAGGCAGATAGATAGCCCTAGTGTGCTTTGCCATAATTAAATACACCAACACCATCATTATTGTTAGTCCTAACATATTCTAAAAGTGAATCTTCATAACACTCCTTACTGATTTACAAAACATTTGCTATAACGTTTAGTTCCTCTTAGCCACAGTTATTAAAATGCTTTTTAGCTGTGTTTTGAAAGACTGATTCCCATGCTTTGTTTATACTATGGATGACCTGTAGCAAAGATATTGACTTAATCATCTCTGTAACTGGATCTTACCATATATATATTTCTTCTGAATGTTCATATTACTATAAAAATAAAATTAGCAGTTTTCTCTATGCATTCTAAATGCATTTAGTATTTTTAGAATAACAGAAATCTTTAATTAAATGTGAAAATTCTAAAAGGAAAAGGAAACGTGGAAGAAAGAAACTGAATACATTAAGAGAAAGGGAAATTATTCTTCAAAGATATGTACAGATATTATTATGTAAATTACCTAGTTGTTTACATTTCAGCCTTTACTATAATTTCCCATTTCTATTATCTCACCAGAATGCAAGTCACTTAGATCGTTTTTAAACTGAAGTTTTTGGAGTGTAAGACAAGAGAGCGTTTCTGACTTCTACTTGCTCCCTGCATTAGCTCCTGCCAGCTCTGATAATTTGTAATTATTCGTCTTTACATTACCGCTGCTGACATTTGAATTTGTTATGACGATGTAGTTACTGAGCCCGCTTAAAATGAAATTGTATAGTCTGTGATCACTAGTCCATATTTTTAGTTTGAATTTGATTCTTCTTGTTTAATTACATCACCAGAAGCTGTAACTGATTTTGTTAGCATAAGAACATGCCTTTATGTTTTAAGTTCTTTTTAAATAAGAAGCTTATTTAAACCTTTGTCTGATTTCGTAGTTACTTTCAGACATAGCGATAATTTGCTTCATATCTGTCTAAACCCTCATAGGTACATTTTGGAAAGGTTGACAGGTTAGGAGATAAAACATGCAGAAACTAGTGAGAACACTGTCTTGCTTATTGAGGCAAAGTTCTAACTGTTAGAAAAGTTTCTTAAAGAGAAGGAAATTTATATAAATTAGCCAAAATATCTGGAAAGGCTTCAAATTAAAAAGACGCATAAATATTTTGTAGCTTTTAATGTGTAATTATCCTAATATCTTTTCAGAATCAATGTCATAAATTACATGTATTTTAAACTGTAAAATTTTATTAGATTGGGATTTTAATAGGGCTTTTTTTTTTAACAAATATTGTTAAAAAATAAATAAAATTTAATAGTGCCCATGTAAATCCACAATGACTAAGGTTATCTTATACCTAATTTAATTAATTATAACTAACTGGTCACCATTAAAAAAGTGAGTTATCCCTTATCGTGGCCACTAAGATAAAACACAAAAATGTAAAAATTCATGTAAAACCTATTTTTCACATCTAGTGAGATTTAAAATAATGCAAAACAACTTATCACCTCTGGTGCTTTAGTAGATTATTAGTACCTTTTTTTTTAAAGTATATTAACCCTCTCGCTGCGCATCCCGCTATTTCCACGGGCAACTTAGAAGTAGCAAAATTTGCGCAACCCTCAATTTCCGCGGGGATGAATTTTTGCCATCTATTTAAATGTGCAACCCGCTCTTTCCCCATTCAAGGTTTCCTTTCGGCTTTTCTGTGATATTTAATTGTTTATTTACATGTGGGCTAACTGATGGCATTAGTTGTCCACATTTCTGACAAATGTACAAGAATACAAAATGTAGCATTTTGCATGCACTTTTCAGAGCTCAAAGATGTCTGTCAGGAAGCGTTTTGAAAGCAATGTAATTATCTATACTCCTGATGATATTTCTGACACTGGTAGTAGTTCTGACTCTGATTTCAAGTATATTGAAGATATTTATAACAAAACTGATGAAAACTTCTCGGATTCCTCTGCAGATAGTGATGAATCTGAAAATTCAGTTTCTATTGAAAACGTTTGACAGTCGTGCAAAATATTACATTATGCAAATATTTTCATTAGTATACATGTTTTACCTTTGTATTTTATAAAATCATAATTTAACCAATATTAATTTTCAAAATTTTCCTTTTATATCATTATTCTTCAATTTCAGTATCCCAACAACATTTTTCTATAATCTAATTCTATATTGAAAAAAACAAAATTTTTTTTTTTGTATATTTTAACTCTAAAATTTAACTCTAAATACTCTAAATTTTAATTAATAATAATATAATAACTCTAAATTTTAACTCTAAAATATATGTAGATTTGAAATATGTAATAAAAAAATACGCAATTTTTGAACCTATTTTGAAAAAAAAAAAAAAAAAAAAAGAACGCAGTGAGAGGGTTAATTGAGTTACAACCCTGGAACTCTACAAGAAGCTATGACATAACTGCATCAGACGGAGCCCAGCTAACTTTCAAAATTTGCGAACCATGCTTATACCAGGCCTTTAAGGTTTGTTCTGATCAGCAGGTCTCTCTCTAGGCAAGCAGACGTGGCAACAACAGCCAGTCTTTTGTTTTGAATCATGCTGATTGTAATTTTAACCTATGCCGCCTTGACATAAAATCTACTTAACCCCTAGACCCCTAGACTGCAAGTATGGGACAAAATGAGACATTAAAAAATCAAGATAAAGCTAGCTGTTAGTAAAACCTAAATAAAATGTCTCTTATCTTCTTTCAAATATGTCCAATTATTATGAGTTTAAAATATTTAATGCTTCTTGATAAATTTCATAAAGTTTATTTTATTCTCAAACTTAATAATTATGTTAATTATGTTTAATAATAACGCATTTTACTTATGGTTCTATTTTATTTGTAGGATGGTATTACAAAAGTTAACTTCAACATAGATAATATTTTTAATTGAATTTATTCTGTTCCCATTTGCTTATGGGTCCTTAATTTTTTTCATTAAGAGTCCTTAAAAGTCCTTAGACGTACTTAATTTCCATGTGCAGAAATGTGTACAAACCATGTTAACAGTTAAATAAAAGGCTAACCATCTCCCTTCTGGAACTGTGATATCACCCCAGGGTAGAACTTTAAGTTGAGAACCCCTATTCTAAACAGACATGAAAATGTATTTTTATGAGATTGGACAGGAAAGCTGGTTTGGAAAAATAAGTTATTAATTTTTAGTTCGTAACCATTGCACATAAACATTGCCTACATCTTCAACTTTCTTATTTTTTTTTTTTTATTTTAAATGGTGGAGTAAACAATATTAGAATTCAAGAAATTCTATGTTAAACGTTAAACATTTGTGGTACGAACTCTAACCAATAGATGGTGTTCATAGATCGTAACTGTTTTAAAATTTATATACTGAAATTTTGAGCTGAAATGGCGATCATCTTTTATAGCTTTAAAGTGCTATGCTAAGTGTCATAAAATTTTGCAAACGTTCTGTCATAAATTTTTTTTTATTAACTTTTAGTCTTGCAAAACTGTATAACATTTGTTGCGAATACTGTCAGGTACCAAATAAGCTCAAAAACAAAGTTAGTGGTTATATTTTATAAACTTTGATTTATTATTTTATTATTTGTTTTTGTGATAACATTGACATTTCTGTGTTTGCAGGACTTAGCGTTCCATGTAACGCATTTTATGATAATTCTATTCCTTATTTGGAAGTTCAACGTATTGGTGGCCTTCAGTCACATCTTTTAAGAGTATATCAAGATGTGGTTGTGAATGAAATTAGTAAACAGAAAGCAAGCACTGAAAATGATCCAGTAGCCTTAGGTATGATGTTTCATTTTATGGTATTTAACTTTAGTATTGTTTCTGATAGTTCTGTCAGAAGTTCACAAAAACGTGACCACCTGTAATTTTGAAAATACTTGGCAGCCAATAAAAATTTTTAAATATTTTATAACAGAAATTTCATTAATGTATTTAAAGATAATGATATATCAAAGCAAGGTTATAAAAATTACTATTAATTTTTGATTCTTCAAAATATCCACAAATTTTTGTCAAAGTTGTGCATACTCTAAATATTTTATCAAGTAGTTTTTTAATGTGTTCTAGTGTAATTTGTTTCTAACTGTTAATTAGAGACTTCCTTAGCTGTTTCAAAATATAAGTTCTAGATTTTGTGATAATTATCATTCTCTAAGAGCTCAGTGGTATTTAGTCCAGTCTCTGAAGTAACCATTATGCCAGAATTCTCTGAATCTCTCTCTTTTTTTTCTAGTTAATCTTAATGTTTATTATTAAAATTATTTATTAGAAAATTATTTTTACTCATAGTCTTCCAGAAAATATATACACACTCGCTACCATAAGTTTAGGAACATACTGCATTTCTTTACAATACACAACTTTCTTTTCTCTTGTTTTATTTATTTATTTATTCAAAAATTATCTCTAGGTAATAAAAAGACAATGCAGTTATAATAAATCATAATAGCTGTGAAAATTTAGGTCACCTAAGGAATTTTGTTGACAAGGTTTATTATCTTTATAATGTATGACAACTAATATTATGTCATTATTTATGTTGCATATTATGCCACATTATTTGAGTCATTTATGCTATATCAGTTTCGAATATGAAAATTTGTTATTGTATTTATTAAACCACAAATATTCAGACTCTTCCTAGATCGTATAGCTTACAGCTGCAGAGTTTTACAGGTCAGCATGCCATTTATTTCAAAATACCAGCATCCATTGCCTCCAAAGCAATCCACATTATCACAGAGTCTTTTTCATATGTGATAGTGAAGTAGATATACACTCATACTGCATTCATTCATCAGCTAAATTTTTGCCTCTGATGATTAAAAAAAATTTGAACTTTAATCTGCTTATGAAAAGAATTTTTTATAACTTACATGGTCTTAATTTTCATGATTTTGGCTCATGATAACCCCATTTCCGGATTATAGATCATCAATTTAAATCTGGTAAGATGGCATGCAGAAATTAAGAAATTAAAAATATGAAACTGTAATTTATGAAATAAAGAACAATTATGATCTAAAGGGTATCAAATTTTACAAAAAAAAGCTTAATGTTTATTTGCTTACTTTATTAAACATTTCTTTCAACTTGCGCATGCGTAAAGCATACATTACGCATAGTCGAAATTAGTAAATTGCAACTAGGAAACTATTTGATGTGTATTCGTGATATTTATAATGATGAGGAATTTTGTTTAAATCATATCAAAGACGGAGTACATCGAGATGAAATACTACATTTAGTAAGGAATTGTAAGCCGATTAAAATAAAAGCATCTGCCCTGAAGGTAAGGATAGTGCTGACAGATAAACTTCCAGTTCATTGTGCGCCGCGACATTTCCCCCCCTGCAGAGCAGCATGAAATTGATAAATAGATTTCAGAATGGTTAGAGAAACAAAGGATATGCCTTTAACCATTTTTTGAAGCAATTCCACTTTTTGTTTGATGGACATTGAAACATGCTTTCGCTTTGTAGATCCTTTGGCAGCTCCAGAATCGGAAATTCTTTTTGACATAATTGAAAGTTCAAGCTTACTTTTATAAAATTGCTCTAACAGCCTGTAAAAATAATAAGCCGGATCCAATTCGAAGATTAAGGAACAACGCAATCTGCAACATTAACTGAACTAGATCATTTTAGCTTAGCTTATACCATCTGTTATACATTAAACGGGCATGTGTAAACATATTGTGCACATGCAGAAAGTTTGTAGCTTTGAGGTCCGGATTATAGATCATTCTGGATTATGGACGTCCGTATTAAAGACTTTTGACTGTACTGCTTTTCGCACCACCCGTCTCTTATTTGGCAAAAATTCCTGTAGCACCTCCCTCTTATTTTTTTCAATATTCCAACAAGAGTCAGTTTCTTTTGCAGTAAATAATTTGCAAGTGGGATGCTTGTGTAGTAATTATCTGTTGTAATATTTCTACTTTAGTTTTTAAGTGGAGAGACCAACCTATTCACAACATCCATAGGACTGTTTGAAACAGTGTAACAACCAGCAGGTTGTGCTCCACAATAAATTTCGAGGCCAGATGTATAAAATGTTTTTGAATCGCACAAAGCATACAATTTTATCCCATACTTCAATGGCAGTACTGAATGTTAGGCAGGTACTGAATCCATTGACAGCAACCTCAAAAGACATGCAGCATCTTATGAATAGTGACGAATTCGCCCAAAGTGTAGCAATCATTACAATTTTTTCGAAATGATTCAAAGATATTCTGGATAGCTGCCAATTTTTCCATTTTACATCTGTCCTGCCTTGTTGATTTATCATCGAATCAAAGACAACTTGGAAAAATAAAAATCTCTTGTAACTCATCACAGCTCTTGTTATTTCGTTTCCAGTGGCATCACTTGAAAACAACTCTTTACCATGGTGTCCTTTTTTTATTCCTATCATATATAACAATTCAAAGTATACCATTATTTCCACTCTTGAAGTAACAGTGCACTCTCTGTCTCTTGAGTATTTGCCTTTTAGCAAACTTATATATATATTTGTATATTCCAAAATTTCATCAAGCATATTTATAGCAATTCGTTTCAAAAATGATCCTATTTCATCCTCTGTATCCTTGGCATGGTGTTTTAGGCTAGATAACACTTTCACAATATTTATCTTTTTCGTCCTTGAGCAGTTTGCATACTTCTAGTTTCGCTACTTAGAAGATTTATCCATACCAACCTTGACCATATCATCATCATTCCTTTTTTTCTAAATCATTATTATCATTGTCATCTGAAATTCGTTCGCATTCATTGCTGATATTATTTATCTCTATATTTTCCTCACTCAAATCACTATTGTTCTCACATCCGAATGCTTTCCTTATCTTCTTTTTCTTCATCAGATAATTCTTAAAAAATGCGAGCAAAATCAGTTGGTTGCACATACTTTTTATCATGAAAGCCGATATTAAAAATTATATAGTCAAATTTATACAAATTAAAATAATACACATCAATCAATTTTACAAAATATTCAAGATTAATATTTTCACTCACAAACACACGCTTGTTGTAACTTTTACGAAGCTGCCATGTAGCACAAAAGCCTAGTTAAAAAATGTTTAACAGACATCAGTATAAAACAAAAATGTTTGTAATAATGTACCAACAGGAAGTCATATGACTTTCTGTTGGTACATTCCGTGATGTGGGGAAGGTTTGCAAAGAAAAAAATGACTTTCAGATGTAACAGCTGCGATATGCGAAAAATGGGCATTGAAAACGAATTTGTTGTAAACTTTATACATGATGCGCGTGATGGAAGGTTAATGTCAGTAGTTACTGTTTTTAAAATAGAAAAAGGAAGAAACCAAATTAAAATGGAGACATAAATGGACTATTGAAAGTTAAAAGTTAGAATTTGGATTTACATAGTTTTTAACGTATATATATATATGCATGTTTTTACCTTAACCTTAATATATGCATATTTTTAACTTAATATATGCATATATATATATATATATATATATACATATGCATATTTCTCAATGTTTTTTGTGTTTCCATGTTCACATTTCACCATATGCTGTATTACGAATATTGTTTTTTTCCCCATTTTGTACCACCCCTTAAAGTTGTGACTGTTAGTTCTGTTACAGTTTGCTTTTTAAACATGGCTTTGCTATTTTTTTTAATTTTTTAAAATTTGTTTTATTAAAATTTAAAATTTGCCATAAAATATCATTAATTAGTGATTTAGTAAAGCTGGTTATTCATCCTTCATTTTAGGGTGTAATTGTAGAAATATTACACAATTTTATATTGGTTATGAAGAAATTTCTAGGTATGTGTACAGAAAAATTTTAGCCATATTATTTTTTTCTTTTTTTAGGATGTGATGGTAGGAAAGTATTTTTATTTGTATAATGAACATCATGTTCCTCACATTATAGTGACATATATAGTCTGTTAGGTTTATTTTTTCTCTTGTATTTTATATTTTTTCTAGGGAAATTACTTAAGTCTGAGAAATCAAAGTCTCAGCATTTAAGGCATGCTGGTGATAAAGATAATTTTGGAACTTTAATTGAACTTCTTGATGGAATTGTTCGTCTGTATCATATTGCTGCCCATCGTCAGCTGGAGAAGGTATAATATTTATAAAATATCTCCATCTCTTTTTATCAGATTTTTTTTAACAGTTCAACTTATCAGTCTGTAAAACATAATAGCAATTTTTAATGAATGCAAAGAAATTGGATTGCTTTCTTACTTGACTTTGCCTAAAAATTTTTTGCAGACATTTTTAAAAACATTATTTTATACTGATGTCTGTTAAACATTTTTTTAAAACTGTATCCATGGTCTTTGGTTTCATCAAAATTCTGAACAATTAGGAAATTAAGTTTATGAATAATGTGGAAACAAATGCAAAATCTGAGATAGAATTTTTCTATAAATACAATGCTCATTGTGTTATTAACAATTTTAAAATAAATACAGTCAAAAGTCTTTAATCCGGACTCGTCGGGACTTCGGCGATTCCGGATTATCGATTTTTCCGCATTATAGATCATCAGTTTAAATCTGGTAAGATGGCATGCAGAAATTATAAAATTAAAAATCTGAAACCGTAATTTATAAAATAATGAGCAATTATGATCTAAAGGGTATCCAAATTTACCAAAAAAGAAGCCTAATATTTATTTGTTTACTTTATTAAACATTTCTTTTAACGCGCGGATGCGTAAAGCATACCTTACGCATAGCCGAAATTAGAAAATTGCAACCAGAAAACTATGTGATTTGTATTCGTGATATTTATAATGACGAGGAATTTGATTTAAATCATATCAAAGACGGAGTACATCGAAATTAAATACTACATTTAGTAAGGAATTATAAGCCGACTAAAATAAAAAACATCTGCCCTGAAGATAACGATAGTGTTGACAAATCAACTTCCAGTTCATTGCGCGTCGCATCGTGACGTGCCCCCCCCCCCCCCCCCCCCCGCGCAGAGCAGTGTGAAATTGATAAACAGATTTCTGAACGGTTAGATAAACAAAGGATATGCTTTTATCCATTTTTTGTAGCAATTCGTTTTTTGTTTGATGGACATCGAAACATACTTTCGTTTTCTAGATCCTTTGGGAGCTCCAGCATCGGAAATTCTATTTGACATAATTGAAAGTTCAAGCTTACTTTTAGAAAATTGCCCTTACAGTCTGCAAAAAATAATAAGCCGGATCCAATTTGAAGATTAAGGAACAATGCAATTATCAACATTAACTGAAATAGATAATTAGATAATTTTAGCTTATACCGTCCATTATACATTAAACGCGCACGCGAAAACGTATTCTGCACTTGCGCAGATGCATATGCGCAGTTGTAAATGTCTTGCGCGCACGAGTAAAGCGCCTATGCGCATGCGTCAATGCGGCGCATGCGCAGAAAGATTTTAGCTTTGAGGTCCGGATTATAGATCATTCCGGATTATGGGTGTCCGAATTAACGACTTTTGACTGTAATTGTGATTGAAAACATAGAAAATCTATATCAAGTGGAATTTGATTGATTGTTGAAAATGAAAAATAAATTTTTATTTTAAACTTACCAAGTAATATTTTTTAAGTTGAACCTCTTTTCAGTAAACCTATCTTAATATCTTATAAAATTTAAATTAGTTGAAAAACATTTATTATTATGCTAGAAAATATTTCATTCATTTTTGTCTCTCATATTTTGAAAATATTTGTCATGAAACTGTTTTCATGTGTGCATTTCTGTCCGTCCTTTCCTAAATAAGCTACAAAAGTATTTCTTCTTAATAATTCATTTTGATAGCCTCTTAAACAATTTGACATGCTTTGATCTTATTTAAAACAAAAGGATATGTTCAAAATTGCCTAATAAATAAAGAACCTCCGATTCATTATTATCAATGCCCATGTTATGACAATAATTTTGTGTTCATTCTACTAATGTGATGAAGTTAAGTCATCTCAATATTTTTATTGTTTTGGAACTGAAGATTCAGGATCTATCTATAAATAAGAACAATCTAAAAATGTTTGCTAGAAATGGAGTGTTGTGGACCAATACAGCCACTTATGGGACCATGCTTTGTTATCAGAGAGTATTTGCAAAATATAAGTATATTGATCTCCTACTTCAAGTGTCCAGGGGTTCAAAAATTTGTTAATAAGGGATGTATGCCAAGAAAGGGGCTTCTCTTCATTTTAAAATAATGGCTGTTAAAGTCTAACTTCTTGTTTTGATTATGAAAAGGGAAAGGAAATAAACAATGAAAAGGAAGAAAATAGTACTAAATAATCACTATTATTGGTACATCAGGTGTCCACAATTACTACTTGAGGAGAAGTGAGGGGAAAATATGCAACAGTGTAAAATTTCTAGGCCTACAACAACAACACATGTCTTAGCTATAGCCTCATGCTGCCCATGAGTCCGTACAATCTAGCTTTTCATTCTTTGGACTGTAGACTTACTAGATTTGTTAGTACAGTATATTTTATGATTGTATATCTTTGCAGTTTAAAGTAACTATTTCAAGATTTTTCTGTTCAGTCTTTCATTTATTTATTTATTCTTTTGTGAACAGATGTGTGCCCTTCGGGATAGTATGCATGAATATCGCCATGCTTTAAAGGAAGTAGAAAAGCGTTTGAAAGTTCAAAAAGGAGATGTTGAAGAAGAGCTTAATCAGGCAAAACAGGTATTCCTTGAAGAACTCATTGAACAAGGAAGGCACCAGGCTTGGATTTCATCTGTTGTATACTCATCTGTAAGTGAAATTTGTCTTAATATTTAAATTTGATCTTTATTCACAGAAAATATTTATTTCTTAATCATTATAAAACTGTATTTATACTATTTTCCATGTGCCTACAGTTATATAATATACTTGTCATTTATTCGTTCACTTAGACAGATGTAGTGGATTTCAAATTTATTTTATATAAAAAATTAACAACTTTTTGCTGTAAGTGGAATGGCTGTGATTATTCTGAGGGCATTTTTTTTCATTATTGAAATCTGAAATATTTGTACTGCTGTCGAAAGTAAAGGTATATATTTTAATTTTATTCGGAAATGACTTTGTCATTCAAAGAATATAAGTGAATTTTCCTTTATTTGGATATTTTTACCTACTGTGTTGTTTTAAAAATAAAGAATAGACCTTTTTGCTAGACTGTAAAAACAAGAGTCTATAATGTTGCTATTTTAAGTTTCAAGCTGACATTTTGCTATGCTCTTGTAATATATTTTAAATATGTTATCATGTATTGTATTGAGTAGATAATTTCATGTAACTTCAGCATGAAAACATAACATGAAATAAATATTTTTAGTTCAGTGACAAAGCATATAAAGTACCTGAAGCAAAAATTTGTGTCCGTATTAGGTAGTCGGAAATGCCAGGAAACAAATATGCCATTATTGATTAGTAAATTAGTCATATAATTTAAAAATAAATTGCATATCCTCCAAAATATAAACTGATGTTTGTTGTAAATTTATGTTATTTCTGAAAATATGCAAATAATTTTTCATTTAATTTTCAGAATGATGTGTTTTAGATAGATTCTATTGCACATTTGCCAAAGTGCATAAGGAGGATATATGTGACAAATCAAATAAAGGATTTTTTGGGGGGTGGGCAAGTTGTCTTTAAAAATTTTAATTCTGATGAAGATGTGATGCATGAAATTGTACACTGCTGATTTGAGCATATTTAAATGTGTTAATTTCTGTATTTTGACATTAGAAACATTCTAGATATTTATAGCATCAAAATAAATGAATTTATATTTATTTATTTACTTGATGTTTCTAATGCCAGATGAATTGAATTTAGTCTTCTCTTTATATCATATTACATTATTATCCTAATGATATCAATTTAAAAATAAAGGCTGAAAAATTGCCAGTTCTGAGAGCTGTTATTAACTTAATAATAGAAAATTTTATATTTGCCTGGAATGTTCATTGCCAGCTTTCAGAGGTATTTCCGTTGTTGTAAGGCTAGTTTGTCTTACAGAAGTTTATTATTTCAGCTTAAGGAACTGAGGGATATAAAACTAATATAAATTTATATATATAGTAAATAGAATCCCTTTTAATTGGCAGCAACAAGACTGTGCTGATTCCAGATAGAGGTTTTTCTTGGTAATTTAATATATATTTTTAGAACTTCATTGCTTATGTTTTATGATGCAATCTGTAGGAATTGCAGCATGTAAAGTTTGTGGTTTTGATCTATTGGCCACAGTTAAATAAATAATCTATAAAATCATGCAGATTATTTAAAATTAAAACACATAACATGATATATTTTTTAATTACCATATTTATTATCACATGAAAGTTAGCTGTTTTAGGATGATGGAATATAGGTTCAAATGTTTGTCTGCTTACAAGACTATTGCCATAGTTTTAAAAATTCACTGTATTGTGCAATGAAGCTTCATAATATCAGTGTGCAGACAGAGATGAATATTTCTTTGTAAATCTTATGAAAATCGGCTGTTCTTCAATGGCTTCCTTCCACGTAATTTTTGTGTTCTGTCAACTTTTATCCTTCGCTTCATCATCTTTCTTACAAATATTTTCGACATTTATGTCTTTTGATTGTTAGCCTTTTACACACTTCTTTATCTTATAAGTCTAAATTTCAGATTAAAGTGTAGACTTTCCAAAAGTGCCATTATTTTGATATTGCCAGTTTACTGGGTACCAGTTAAATGGAATTTCACTGTTGCTAAATATTTATTGTCTTTATTTTTGATAATACATCTAGTTGATATAATTTCTTATCTAACTGATAATTTTTATTAATACTTACATCAGTGGTGTAATTAATAATAGATTTTTCTTAGACAATAGATTGTTTGATTTGCTATGGAATAATAAGAATTATGGCATGGAAAATTAGAAGTTGTCATGCATTGTGTTATAACCTAGTTTGATCTTTAAAATCAATATTTAATTTGTGTTATCTGTTTTTCTCATATCTGCTTTTGGAAAGGTAATTTGATTTTTTTATGATAATTGCATAATTTAATTTTCATTTTTCACCTTAACACTATCTGTCTTATTATTTCATAGGACAGACAAGCAGATGTTTATTGGTTGCTGCAAATCTTACTTCGAACACTATGTCAAGCATCTGAAACTGGTGTACTCTTTTCCTTTGTTCCTGATTTTTATGTTGAAGCTTGTATCAAATGTTGCCATGCTCTTCGAAATTTTTTTCCTCCTGCAGCCCCTGCTGATAGTCTACCTGGTAAGAAAGAACAATGCATTTTGCATATTTTTTATGATTATATTTAAAATGTTTTAGAATAAATTCTAATGGATAATTATAAATTTTATTGTGAAAGTTGAGGCTTTCAATATATATATTAATATTTTATGTTTCTTCAAGATATACATTTAAAATTCAGATTTTGTAAAGTATTTGTTTATGTGATAAGCAAAATAAAAGAAAAACAACCACTACATAGCTACATGCATTACTGTAGATGTGCATTTATAGTAGATGTGTGAGGATATAATAATATTTTACTTGAACAGTATAGATAGAAATTACAGAGTAGTGTTGCTGTAGTTACAGATAGAAATTGTGTAATAATATTACAGCATCTAGCAATAGAAAAATGTGTAATAAAACTTAATGTAATTTTTAAAAAATATTTATTCTTTATTATGTGGATTTAAAGTATGAGTGTTTTTTTAATGCTTTTAGTATTATACTTTTACTGTTTTAAGATTTATGTATGCTACTATTTAATGCAATGTTTGCTATGCAGTTGTACCACATAACAAATAATTGACTGACTGTAGGAACCTCTGTGGTTCCTTGTGACTCTGATTAATTCATAGTTGAATGGATATGAAATGTCATGTTTTTATAATTAATTTCATTGGATAAATGTAAATAACTAAATTGGATTATTATTTTTATTATTTTGGGAGTGATATCCTGTTAAAAACAATTAAAAAATCTGAAGTTACCGTAATTTTCAGAAGAAATGCCGCGGCATTTACGTGTTTAAAACTTAAATTTTCAGCAGGTGCGGCGTTTAGGTGCATTAAAAATAAAATATTTCCTATTATGGTCACTGTACATAGTTTGAATAATGATCATAATTGTACATAGTTTGAATCGATGAATCTTCCAGGACCCATCCTCTCCCCACCCCTGCCTTTTCTGCAATTTTTTCGAAGGCGGACACGACTCCACCTGCCTTGCAATAATGAACTCTGACGTATTTCCTCTTCAGCATGAATCCATTTTTCTTGGCATTCTGCCAGATACAGATCCCATCAGTTTGGGTACAGGTATATGTTGAATAGATTTTAAGTAAGAAGGGAGCGGAAAATTTTTGAAAATGGCACCTAAACGGCACAGAAGCTATACTGCTGGTTTTAAGCTTAATGTAATTTCACGTGCTGAACAAATTGGAAATAGAGCAGCAGCTCGAGAGTTTGAAGTGAACGAGTTCAACGTTGTATTCGACGTTGTAGAACTGAAAAAGAACCTCAAAATATGCTACAACAGAAACGAGCCAAAAGAAGTAGTACTGTAAGGTGGCCGAATCTAGAGGACGACCTTGCAAACTGGATAAAGGAGCAATGAGGAAAGGGAATGGCAATTTTGACTGTAAAAATTCACTTACAAGCAAAATTTATAGCAAAAAAAAAATTAACATAAATGATTTCAAAGGAAGGCCTTGCTGGTGTAGCAGATTTATGAAAAGAAAAAATATTTCTGGCGTACTAGAACAACAGTTGGGCAACAATTACCAATGGACTGGCAGGATAAAAAAGCATCTTTTCTAAAATATGTGACAGATATTATTGGGGGGGGGAACAACCTTCTTCGGTCACAGATAATAAATATGGATGAAACGCCATTAGCTTTCAACTCTCCTGCAAACAGAACTGTTGGTGAAACTGGTGCAAAAACTGTATCTGTGCTTATGACGGGGCATGAAAGAACATTATCTACATTAGCTTGTGCCACAAACGGTGACAAGCTAAAGCCGATGATAAATTTTAAATGAAAAACTATTCCGAAGGGAGGTTTTCCTAATGACGTAATTATTAGTGCAAACGAGAGCGGCTGGATGTGCAAAACAATCATGCATGAGTGGCTACAAAAATGTTTGCCAGTGTCGTAAGGGATCTTTTTTACAACTAAAAGGGTTATTGACAATGGATTCAATGCATGCTCATTAACTTGAGTCAGTGAAAACCAGATATCAAAAATTGTCTACGACCGTAGCAATAATTCCTGGTGGTTTGACAAAAATCTTACAACTATTAGATTTGTCAGGTAATAAATCCTTGAAAGCTGAAGTCCGAAGGCGGTAGAGTGATTGATGAGTGAAGGATTGCATACGTATAACAAAAGCGGTAAAATGTGTAAAGCATCTTATGAAGAAGTTGCAAAGTGGGTAGGAAGTGCGTGGAAATCTGTAAAAACATCATCAATAATAACAGGGTTCAAAGAAGCTGAAATTATATCCTTAGATAAAGAGACTGTAAACCAAAAGGTTGAATGCAATTATCTGGAAGATTTGGACTTAGATCACGATTTACTAAATATTTTAATTCAGATAGTGAAGAATCAGATTTTGATGGCTTCATATGATGTATAGTTTGCTGTAATTCCTTTTGTAAGTAAAATTTAAAATTTCCTTTTGTCATCCAAATTTAATATTTCGTTGTAGCAACATTTTTTATAATATAGTCTGAGTATTACAAATATGGACTTCTTTAGTGGGTAAATATAAGTATATTCGTGAACGTAAATATATTTTCAACATTTCTTACCTTTAATTTGTTTTTGAGTTATGGTTTCATTTCATGCATTTTTCTTGACTGATATGTCATATATAAGGACATAGGTTGAGATTTTGCAACTATACAGCTCACGATGATTTCATGCGCAATTTAATGTATTGCAGCGTTTATGCGGATGTCGCGTTTCTATGTAATTTTTATTTTTTCCCCGCCATTTTTCTCGAGTGCAGCGTTTACGCTGATGTGGCCTTCCTTCTGGAAATTACGGTAAATTCTTCACTCTTCTAGATTTTATACAGTTATTACAATAATCTTATTGCCAGACTGATATTTCCTTGCTGAAATAAAAGTGATACGAAGTCTGCTTTAAAATATATATTAACAAGGATTCTGTTGTAATACAGTTAGTTACATATAAATGTTAAACAGATTTTCTTTTTTAGCCTTTGCAGGTCATCATGAACTTTTGATTAAGTATGGCTCCTTTTTAGCTCACCATTTTGCTGATGAACGAGTCGTTAATGCAGGTATAATATCATCCGTTTTAAATTTTGATGTTTTAATTTTTATGTTATTCATTAAATGCAGTTACTTATGCAATGACATTTTAGAATTAAAGGATAGTTTAGTCCAAGCACTGGCATCCTATGTATGTTATCCTGCCACCCTGCAAGCTCTGGAAAGCATGGATTCTGATAGGTATGCAGCATATTTATATGTATTTCTATTTCTGTGCTTGCTAATATTACTCAAGATTTCAAGTATGAAATTTAAACTTTTATGAGATTCAAAATTTGGCAAATTCATTATTTTAATTTAATTTATTCTTTTAATTTAAAATGTTGAGAAATTTTGATATTTATGTTTATAGGTATAATTTGATATTTATGTTTATAGGTTATCATTAACACATGCAAATGTAGCTAAAATGTAATTATGCAAGGAATAGTATATTCAAATTATATAACAGATATTAAGAACTTGCCAATTGATTGCACAATTCTTTCTTTCATGTATTTAATTTTTTATTCAGAGGCTTGAAAAGATGCCACTCGGTTGCATTACCTAAAATATTACAATATTATGTGTAAATATGTTTCATTTTATATCCATGTACTGCTGCTTTTGTGCTGATGTGAGATGCTTTGGAATCCTCAGCATATACACTACATTAATAGTTGGTGAATGATGGTATTGACAGAGGCAACATTGATGTACACTGCTCAAAAAAAAGGGGGGGGGGACAGTTCTCCCGTTCTAATGGGCCAATTCACGAAATTCAAATTGCGTTCTTCGTGTCTCGAAAGCACGACTTAGGATATATATTAGATTTATATATAGCACTATTCAAACATAGGTATTTTGACACAAAATTGGACTTTTTATGAAATAACACCAATTTTTTTACATATTTCGATTCTATGACTCAAATTATGCCTAAATATTAAATTTTGCAAAATTTGAGCTTACTTTTATAAAATTGCTCTGACAGTCTTCAAAAAATAATAAGCCGGATACAATTAGAAGATTAAGGAACAACGCAATCTGCAACATTAACTGAAATAGATAATTAGATAATTTTAGCTTAGCTTATACCGTTCGTTATACATCAAACTCGCATGCGTAAACTCATATGTGCATGTATAAAGGTATTATGCGCATGCGAAAACGCATGCGCAGAAAGTTTGTAGCTTTGAGGGCCGGATTATAGATCATTCCGGATTATGGACGTCCGGATTAAAGACTTTTGACTGTATATTTATTAATATAAATTTTTCAGAATTTGATTTTATTTATCTGAATTGCATTTCTTTCGGAAGAATACTTTGTGACCCAGACTACATAGCATTTAAAAACTGCATATATTAAAAGAGAACATACAGTAAAGCACAGTTAACACGCCTTTTAGTGTTCCATTCAGAAAAGATATATAAATAAGAGAGATGTATAACCGACATTTTAACTTAGGATGACTTGCATACACTAGTACATAAGTATAATTATAATTAATAATAATATGTGTATAACAGGAGTAACAGTCAGAAATTAAAACTACAGATTTGAAAATATAAAGAATTTTTTTTTAAGAATTTTATTATCCCTAACAATCAGTATTTTAAAGTAAATTGTGTTTTCTCTGATATTGTATTTCTTAGATAATTTTTTAATCTTTGATCTGTTGATGCGTTTAAAATTATCATGGTTAACACAATTTTTAAAATAATATCCATATTTTAAAAGTTGCTTTCCTATATAAGGCTTTTTGTGTGTGTTTGTATTAATTGTTTGACAAGTGTTGTTTATCTAAAACTAGTAAAAACTCGTTGAACTCATCTTACGTAAAATTACTGAATTAGTATCATCTTTATACATATCTGTTAACTTAATGCATTTTTTCTTTTCTTCTAGACATAAAACTTAAATACAAACACGCATTCGTGCAACACACACACGCCCCCCGGAGGGGGGGGGACTTTTATTTCCTGCATTAATGGTTTGCAAAATTTTATTCCATTAGAACATCATTACACCAGTTTCATAATTATTCATTTCTTTAAGTAATGATTTTGCTTCAATAACAGAAATTTTGTTTTCTTATGTAAAACTGCACATGCCATTAATGCCTCTTGTATAATTTTGTAGTCATATTTTAACAATAAAAATGCATCAGCCCTGGCAGACAGCCTTGTATCTAACAATTTCTTCAAATGTATAAGAACTTCCATGCATGTTGCATAACATGTTCCATCAGAAAGGTGATGATGCAGAAGGGAAGAGAAAAAAATGCATGAATTAAAAAATATTTTGAAGATTTACTGGAGCTTTCTGCAGAAACATTACCAACTAAATAAAATGGTTGACTAGAACACTGAAAGATGTTGCTGAAACAGCCTTTGCCCATATCCTTATTGTGGACCATTGTTACTTGATTGACATATTTGCTGCATTGTTGTCCATGGCAGTATTTTACATATACCAGAAGATTTTGCAAGGTTGATAAAATTATCTCTTTTAGCTACTCTGCATTAAGTCTTTCTGTATGGGAGAATTTTCTTTAATATCTCCATTTGTTGATAAACAGAGCACTATAAAAGTAAGTTGGTCAGAATGCACAACATTTGGGGTAGAGTCTAAAAAAATTCTTCTACACTGGTTATCATAAATTAAGGAAAAATCACAAAAATAGCGATAACTCCCTCAAAAATAAGCCAAACCATGTAAAATTTGAATATGTTGCCAAGTAAGAGTAGCTGAGTAAAACTCCAATATGCAAATTAGTGGCGCTGCATTCGGAATATGTCATCTGCGAGGAGCATAAAAGTCCATGTTTGAGAGCAAGCCCACATATTTCTCTGTGATAGTGACATCAGAAATCTGAGATAGCCAATCTGTAACAATGATTTCCAGGCATCATTTGCCTACAGAACTACGATAGAAAGCCATTGGGAGACTAGAGGCAGGACAAAGTCAAACAGAAGTGGCCAGATGGCTAAATGTGAGTTATTCTGTGGTTCATAGACTTTCCATTCAATAGGAAGGTAATTTCAAATCACAGATTCGGCACCTAGGGCATTTCAGCCAAGGACGGCCAACTGCTACGACAAGCGCCGATGACCGATATTTGACATTATGTGCACTCAGGAATAGAACTGCTAAATGCAGTCACCACATTTATAGACTGATTTAAGCGTAGTTATATCACCTGTATATTTGGGCTTGCTTTAAATGAGAAATTTAACCATTTTAATAAATAAAACTTTAGGACAGAAAGCAATAATTTTTTAGCATCACTTCGAATGGAATGTCTTCCATTTGCATTTCAGTATTTTATAATGGACTTTCTTCTCTCACCCCCTCTTTTTTTTTTTTTTTAATAGTTTCTTCCTTGGTTTGAGTATTAACTGTTCTTCATCTTATGAGGTTTTACTTGATCTGAAACTGGTCATTAGTCCAAAACCCTTAACAGACATGAATGTAATTAATTACCAGTATGTCTGAAAGTAAGTCTTAGAAAGATGTAAACAATACTTTTTTTAACCCCTTAACTGCCGCGGAAAACGTACACAAGATTCATTTCCCAGTGCCACGGTTTTTCACACAGGCGTGCATTGTTATGCGATGTATTAGGGGGAAAATAAGTGCAAGTTTTACTTTCTAAAAACTGTTTACTTTCACAAAATAAAGAATAAAGAAAAAAAAATGAATGCACAGAATTTGATGTTTTGAGTAAAAGTATAATAAAAAGATGTAAGTATAATAAAAATGATGTTTTTATAATAAAAAAGATCCCTAAAATGGAGTTTCGATCAATTTGTTTTTAGACCAGTAAAGTCAGGTTTCAGTGTTATACCTTGTGAAATCAGTATGCCTAAAAAAACATATATTTCTTCTGAACTGGTTGAATGCCAACATTTTGTTCTTGATTTTTCGTTTGTAAAGTGTTGGTTCATATACTCATCTACGAAACAGTTAGTTTCAGTAACAATATGAAGCACGGGCAGTTCATCAAAAAATAATTCAAAAAAGATAAATGGGTTTGAAACATCCATTATATCTTTCTTTATTCCTGAAGCCTACTACAAAAAGTAAACGAAAACGGAGGACACAGAATTAAAAAAAAGTACGTTTTACTCAAACAACACCAGCCAATACCACACAGTCATTACTTTCACCGCTTTAGACACATCCCTCTCTCCAATTTCTCTCCCCCCCACTTCTCTGAAATTGTATCCTCCTTCGCATATTTTGTCAAGGTCATTGTGGTGTTGCATTCCAAAGCTTTGCGAATAATTTTACGGATAGTGGCATAAAGCAAATGATAGTATTTTGGAAGGGTGTATATGTATACACGCGCGGCAGTTAAGGGTTTAAAAAAGACTAAAATATAAATGCAGATTTTTGTGCTAACAAACTCAGTCACAGCTTGTGGTGATGCAACTAAAGGAACAGTTAAATTTTAGTTATGATGTGAATTAGTAATCAAAGACTACACAATTTAAATGTACTCTAAGCTGGCTGAGTAATTTTAACTAGAGTGTAAGAATGAATTAATCTTGAATGCACAGACCACAAATATGCTCTATTTTACAATCCAAGAGCCTCAGTTTAAATATTAGCTAAATTATTTACATGCTGGGAAGGAAACAGAAAGGAGAAGTTATATTAAAAGCTGAAATTATAAATAGTAGTAAATTTATATAACCTTATAACCTTCTGAAAATTCTTCTTCTATATCTTGGTTTTCAACTTCAACTATTTTTGTTGACTGTTGGAAGCTCTTTGTTCTTCATTTTATTGTCACTTGAATTAGGAAGGCCTGAATGGCCAGAGCCAATTTTAAATGTGTGCAATGCTTCTTTCTGTTGGTTCACAGCTTGCTTGTATGTTTAATTCCCCCTATATATTATTAGTCAGCAATGTAGATATTGCTTCTTCATTTTTCAATTAAAAAAAAATACAAAATTTTGTAGCCTGAATTATTAAAGTACTAGAGAAGAGAGTTTTCCTTGCAATGCAGCAAATTAATAATGAATTATGATTCAAAAATATTTTATAAACTACAAAAGTTGTGGCATGATATAACAACAGAAATTAATTTTATCTAACTATAATTTAAACAATAGGAATTACTTTTATTTCTACTTACCTGAATATTTATACATAGAAAGCTATTTTTATAACTGTAAATAGCTGTAGCATATTAATGAAATTAAGAAAATAAGCGACTGTGAACATTCTATTAGTTTTGTCACTGATTGTAAACTTGAACTTAATTGCACATAAGTTGGTGTCATTAGGAAAAAAGAGCAAAGTTAGAGTTTTATGGGGCCCATCAGAAGATGGAATCCAGGGTGCCCATCATTAAATCCACCTCTGATGTCAGAGTTAAATTAATAATGCCTTACAAATAAAGTATAAAATTATTTTTTTATGAAGAAAACTTTTAAACTTGTGCTGTGATTCAAATGCACAGATTTTGTTGTTTGTAGATGAAATTATTTAAAATGGAGTGGCTACTTGAGACTTTCTGTATGCTTAATAAAAGTGCAAGCAAGCTTCCCATGGGACTTTTTCATAAAAACCTGTTCCCTATTTAGTAGATAACCTTTGAGTGCTTTGTCTTAATTCATTAATCAGCCTTTAGTCAAAATAAGTATCACAGAAAAACTAGGCTATACATCCATCATTTTATCCTTGTATTTATTTAATAACTTTCTATTTAGTATAACCATTAAATTTTCACTTTTTTCCTTTATAATAATTTAATTTATCAATATAATTTAAATGAAATTTGTTGAATGTTATTAAAATATGCATTGTGGCATATTTTCTGTTGCTGTGTAACGACTGTGGAAAATGAACGATAGTTTTTAGTGTAAGAGAATGAAAAAAATGTAGGAGTATAAAGTCTTAAAATTCATATAGACCTAGATGTAAATGTAAAAATTTAAGAGTAATATACTTTAGAGAATGAGAATATTTCAGATGTAAAGGAACATGTGTGTTACATGTTAAAGAAAATAACTTAAAAAGGAAAACACAATTTAATTGCTAAACCAGTTAAAGTAAATTTAAAAGAATTCATTAACTTTTCAAATGATTTAATTGAAAAGCCTTGAATTAGCTGTGATATATTTAAATAGTGAAATTAAAGAATTTAATAGTTCAACTAACAATTAGTTTTTAAATTCTGTAAAAGTGAATATATGATAAAAATGTACTGTTTTATGAATCTGAAGTTAAGCATAAAAATATTTAGAAATGTGTGTAAAAAATAAACTTTTGCAAAACTCAATTGAGGCCCATTAGCTGCCGAGCTGGGAAATTGCTGAACACTGGTAGTTTGGTCAATGGTTTGAATCCCGGTGAACGGGATGGCTGCTTGGGTGTTCTCGTGGTTTTCCTTATGTGTAATGTGCATATGAGCCAGTTTCTCTTAACACATTGACTGCCAATCACTAGAGTTAGATTAATAGTTATTGCCACCCATACAGAAGTAAATTGTATCTAGATGCCAGCATACATATTTTAAGAAATATGATTTAAAAATATTTATAAAAGATAATTTTGTGATACCTAAGTATTATTTAAGCCATTTATGAATGGCACTGCATGTCAAAATTTTTCACAAATGCCACATTACATGCATTTTATGGAATGTAATAAATAAATTAAAATAAGAAAAATAAGTGACAGTATGCATTATTTTTATATAAATGTGTATTACAGACAATTATACATATTACAAAGGAATTTATAACAAGAAAATTACAAAGACATTATTAAAAAAGATACATCTAGAATGTTATTTGTGTATTACCTTTGAACAATCTAAGCAGTAACCAGGAGATCCTACAAAAAATTTGCAAACATATAGTGTATCTTTACGTTTTTCTTGGGAATAGCAACTTTTGCATTGCTTTCTTAGAATTTTTCCGTCTTTTTTTTTTTTTTTTTTTTTTGTTCCTGTATACTCAGCACATGTTCAGATTCAGCCTGATCACACACAGGAGCATGAAAAACAGATGGCTGTTTCAGTAAACTTCATATCACGGATAAATGGTTGTCATGCAGTGATGCATTTTCATTGGAATACTTATTATAGATAAAGTGGGAGTTGTTCATCATTATTTGCAAAATATGCACAAATATTTTTGTGGGCCACCTAAATTGTTTTTCTCTCACAAGGATAATAAGCAAGCATCTGATCTTGCTTATCAATACCGGCCGTAAATTTATTATATTGAATTACAGGTAGAGGTTTAGATTTAATTTCACCTCTTTTGTTTGTTATTTCCACCATATGATTTTTATATTCATTGTAAATGTGACGTCTCTCTTATACTGCCACTTTGCAATCATCGCAGCATACTTTGTTACAGTTTGCCCTTTCTTCAGTTTTTTTTTTTTTTTTTTTTTTTTTTTGTTTACCTTTTTTGGAAATGTCTTCCTTTTCTTTCTGTTCGTCCCAGTGCAATAAGTTTTCCTATCAGCAAGACATTTTGCCAGTTCATAGCTGTTATAATAATTGCCCATAAATATGCTATGTCCTACATCCAGCATTCCCTCAAGTAAATTCATAACAACCTTTTTAGCAATAAATAAATTTCAGAACCATACCACCAGGGGATGTGATCATGTACAACCTGATACCATATTTATGATGTTTATTTTGTATGTACTGTCTGATTATAAGCCGTCCACGCCACAATACCATCGATTCATCTAAACTAATCTCATGCCCTGGGTAATATATTTCAGATGCTGACACGTTGAATAAATTCACCATATAACTTACTTTATACAGTCCATCCTTTGAAAGTTCTGTATTCTGATCTGGGATTTTCGCTCAGTAACAACAACACTCAGTGTAATGCCCTCAGTAACAACAAAAATCAATTCCTGCTCATATTTTCTGAACATGCACCTAAACCAAACAGTGAATTTGTTTTCCAGTAATCGTGTATAGGGTTGATTCGTATAGTTCCCATATGTATGATCAATCCCACAAATACCAAGAGTTCCTCTCTTGTGATATCCTTCCAAGCATTAATGTGAGAATGTTTCCTTTTTTCATGGTGTAAAAGTACTTTATGAGTATAATCATTAGTTTCAGCAACTATTTTTTCCAAGTTACTGTCAATGAAAAAATGGCGAAAGAAATCTATAGGATTGCTACCTGAAACAGTTTGGAGGAAACACGGATTTTATGAAAGGAAATTTTTTCATTGATGTTGAATCATTTTCCCAAATAACGTTTTCTGTCATAGTTGAATCATCCTGCTTACATGCAGCCTCTTTCAGGATTCGTTCTTCATGATCATCAGAATCTGAAATATCATGAGTACCAGTCAGAGGAATGAATTCTTCGTCATTGTCATAACTAAAATCGCTCGTGTACTCATCTGATAGTTCAGCCAGCAAATTTGCTATTTCATCATCCATAAGAGCTTTTTTATATTGAATTTTTCTTTTTTTTTCGGGCACAAAGGTCCTACACTATCATCTCTATAATTCATACCAAAAGATTATTTTTTAATAAAAAATAAAAGAATAATTTCAAAACCGTGATTATTTATACGTAGTTTCTAATCACTACTCCATGCCAGTACCAGAAGAAATGCCTTACATGCAATGGCAAATGAACTGGAGAATGAATAACAAGTATAGGATTTTCCCGCACCAGCGCACCTCAGTACTGGCTACTGAGGCATCACCCCACATCACGCACTGGCGCATGATTGGCTCCTTTCTGATAACACAACGTCACGCGCTGGCACATGATTGGCAGTCAGTGTGTTGAAAGGTCTTCCACAAAGGCATTCCTTCCCTTAGGCAGATTAACCTGAAGTGCTTTGTCGTAATTAAATAAACCAAACTTAAACCTTAAAAACTCCTAAAATTAATTTTTGCAGAAAGTGTACAAGTGTGTACTGATTTTTGAATTTTCACCTTTCTATAAAACTTGTTAAAAAGTTTACATTAAAGAGTAACATTTTATTTTGACATTTTTGCAGAAATGTAAATTAGGGAGTTACCTCAAATGCAATGAAAAACTTTTCTGAAAGTAAAAGGCAGTAATAAAGGCCACTTGTCTGGCTAGAAATCAAAAAGTCCAGAGTTCAAATCCTGATAATGTCAGTGCTGGTTTTTCATGTGTTCTACTCTGAAATAAACCTAATAACTCTACAAGTGGTATCCCATCTAAAATGTGGTAGACGTTAATGCATAACCACCTGCATTTGGCAACTGGGTTCCCTTTTCTCTTGCCACTCTTTGGGTAGGGGTGAATGTAAAGAATTTTTGTCTTCCTTGCCACATGCCGCCTTGGTGTAATTGGATGTGCTTCCATCTAGCAATCAGAAGATTTAGAATGCAAATCCCACCAAGGGCATTGTTAATTTTCCTTATTTCCAGCTCTGGAATAACTTCAATAACTGTAAAAATATTTTTGAGCTTGTAATTAAATAATATTGCTGACCGTGACAAACACTCATGTTCTATGTAAGACACTGACTTCCGCAGAACACCAAAAATCATCTAAAATCATGGTTGATCATCATATAAAGGTTTCACTGTTTGTATGAAAAGTATTTTTACATGCTATATAACATCACAAAAAGTGTATTCTGCATTTGCTCTTTTTTAATACAGGACTTGTTTTCCTATTATTCATTTTAAATAATTATTTTATGTAATTTATTTCACTTGTCTTCAGCCGCCTTGTGATGACCAAAGCTCTTCTTCAGCCTTATGAAAATAGAGCATGGGCCCAATCAAACTGGATTCTGATTAGGCTTTGGAAAGTAAAATAAATTTTTCATTTTTTAAAAATAGTTAAAAAAATATTTCATATTCATCATATTCATGTAAGTTACTTATCTCAGAATATATCTGTAACTGTACAGAAGTTTAAATATATTACAAGCTGATAATTATTAACAAATTCCATTCATTATGTATTTATTTATTTTTAATGTCATTATGGTAAAAGTTGTTTCTCCAAATATGTTAATTTTGTTATACTTTTAGGTGAATAAATTGTGTTAAATTCTAATAATATATTAAAATTATATTAAACTGAGGCAAAACAGCTTTGCAATACAAATGGTAGTGCTAATAAACTGCTATGAAATTTTCAGGGTAAGGATAATAAAAACATAGATGCATCTTTAACTCATAATGTGTTTCTTGCATAATGAAATTCAAACTGGAATCTATAGAAAAGTATTATCAAAAGAACTAAAAGGGGAAACTGTGGAATGATAACAGAGAATTTAAAGAAAGTAGCTTGAAGTGAAAAAAAAATATAATACTTCTATTCTTCAAAAAGGTAAATTTATAGCAAAGTAAAGCTTGGAATGCAGTAAAATTATCCTGAGAAAATTGGAGAAGGGTGTGAATTAAAATTTGGATATAAATGGGAAAGAAAAAATATACCTGTTAAATTTAACTCATTTATGATGTTTTTCTTCAGTTAAGATTTTGCTTGCCAGCAACCGAATGGTAAAGTTGGTGAACACTGGTAGTTCAGTTTGGGGTTCCAATCCTGGTGAATAAAGCCAGCTGCATAGGTATTTTTGTTGTTTTCTTCGCCTGTAACATGTATATGAGCCAGTTTCCTCTAGAAAGTCCTTTGGCGAAGGCATCCTTCCCCTTAGGCAGATAGCACTCCACGAAGTCATCCTTTCCCCTTAGGCAGATAGCACTCGGGTACTTTCCCATAATTAAATAAACCAAACTATTTGAGATTTCACTAAATACCTCTCTCTCCCCTTTTCCCCTTTGTTTTACTATCTGTTCTATGAAGGGTGTTCAGATGAAAAGTTATGAAATAACACTATGGGTATAATTGAAGCCTTTGTTCACAAGTAATCACTAGAAGTGTGATCACAACTATCCCACTATTTTTCCTGGAACCAAAGGATTCCCTGTTTCCAGAATTCCTGTGGCTGCAACAGGAGCCAGTGCTCCACTGTGTCTTTTAGTTCGTCATCCAAGTTGGAGCGCTTCCCTTTGAGATGTGTTTTAGCCGACCAAACAAATGGAATCGCAGGGGGACATGTCCGGTTGGATGCTCAAGCTGCTCCTATTTCGCCATATATTTTGTGGGGCTTTGGAGACATGTGAATGTGCATTATCGTGGAGCAGAATCACTCCTGCCATGAATAGCCCAGGCCATTTGCTCTTGATGGACTTGCACAGGTTATGGAGTGCCTCATGGTACACGTCACTGTTAAGGTTTATTCTGTGCTTGAGGAATTCAATGAGTATTGGACCTCGAACATTGATAAAGGATGATGAGCATCACCTTGCCTGCTGAGGGCACAGCTTTGAATTTTTTAAGGGGAGGTGACGGCACATGCTTCCATTGCATGCTGTCCCACTTTGTTTCTGATTCAAAGTGATGGTACCTGCTTTCGTCACCTGCAGCAATCTGCTCCAGGAGAGTGGGGTCTTCATGATACTGGAATAGGTGTTGCAGTTCTAGCTCCATACGCAGTTCTTTTAATGGTTCAATGAGCTCCTTCAGAACTCACTTTGTGCACACTTTCCAGTAACCAACTGTCGTGCATGACTGTTCACACTGTTCCTTAACAATGAGTTTGGCTGTGAATACTGTGTTTGCCTGGCCTGGTCTCAGGTCATCACTCAAACAATCCTGGCCTTCACAAAAATTGGCACTCCACTTTCTCACTGACTCATTTGACACACAGTCTCCCTCGTATATAGCCACATTCCACAGTCAGAAATCTGATAACACCTCACTGAAGTTTAGTGTTTCATAACTCCAAAATACTGCTCATTTTGTTTTATCATTTCAGTGATTTTGGGGTTTTCTTTTATTTTCAAATAATAAATACAGTCAAAAGTCGTTAATCCGGACTCGTCGGGACTTCGGCGATTCCGGATTATCGATTTTTCCGGATTATAGATCATCAGTTTAAATCTGGTAAGATGGCATGCAGAAATTACAAAATTAAAAATATGAAACCGTAATTTATGAAATAAAGAACAATTATGATCTAAAGGGTATCAAAATTTACAATAAGAAAAAGCTTAATATTTATTTGTTTACTTTATTAAACATTTCTTTCAATGTAAGTTGCTTCGTTTCATGTGATAATACTTTCTCTTTAAGTCTATTAAACAGACGTAATTTCTTGTTTAGTTACGAAGTTCCGCTGTTCAAGTCCTATAATTGCTGTGTTGAGAATACCGACTAATTTGTCAATCGAAATGTTTTCGTTTTCAATAACCTCTGGGTCACTTTCTTCACTATCGGAAGCGAATTATAATGACGAGGAACTTGATTTAAATCATATCAAAGACGGAGTACATCGAAATGAAATACTACACTTATTACGGAATTATAAACCAAATAAAATAAAAACATGTGCCCTGAAGATAAGGATAGTGCTGACAGATCAACTTCCAATCTGCAGCATGAAATTGATAAACAGATTTCGGATTTCAAAACACACTTTCGCTTTGTAGATACAAATTACATATTAGTAAATATATATCGGAAATTCTATTTGACATAATCTTTCTAATCTATCATAATCTAATAATGATGTTTCTGCCCCTCTGCCGCAGAGCAGCGTGAAATTGATAAACAGATTTCGGATTTCAAAACATACTTTCGCTTTGTAGTAAATATATATCGGAAATTCTATTTGACATAATCAAAAGTTCAAGCTTACTTTTATAAAATTGCTAATTTTGCGGCTGCAAAAAAATAATAAGCCGGATCCATTTCGAAGATTAAGGAACAACGCAATCTGCAACATTAACTGAATTAGATAACTTTAGCTTAGCGTATAACTCCGTTACACATTAAACGCGCATGCGCACAAACATATTCGCAGCCGTAAGGGTCTTACGCGCTCTCGTAAACGCCTGCGCGCATGCGTGAACGCGACGCATGCGCAGAAAGTTTGTAGCTTTGAGGTCCGGATTATAGATCATTCCGGATTATTGGTGTCCGAATTAACGACTTTTGACTGTATTTATTAACAAGAAAGCTTGTTAGTGAAATTTGCGAAACTTTGAAATAATAACTAAACAAAAATTTAAGGGACAAAAATATATATACATATCAATGAACACAAAGTAAAAAACAGTTCAAAACTTAATCCAGTTGCACACTAATAGTAGCAATATGTAGTGGTAATAATGTAAAATAATTTTTTTAAATTTTATATTGAGATGTCATCTGTAATTATTCAAAAAAGGCTTTAATGGTTAGATTCAATTGATGACATAATGGAAACAGACTTAACAAAACAGTAAATTAATTTATTCATGGTTATTCTTAGTAAGCATAAAGATGTTCACACATTATTTTAGGTGCTTATAGTGCCCATTATACTTTTATATTAGGTAACTAAGAAAGTTCGTGCATGTTTTGAGAACAATTAATTTTTCGCATCAGTGTGGTCAAATTGATTCTTATGGCACCACATGTTTACATTCCTTTCAAATCTTATTCAGTAGAGAGTTGTTAAGTACATTGTAGGTTTTGCTATCAGTCTTGTAGGAAGCACAATCTTCGAAAGTATGTGTCATTGGAAAAGGAGATTTTTCAAGCCTATTTTGCTTTACGAGGACAAATTAGGAAACAGAGCAATTAGAAGAATATGCTTTGCGTTTCGGAGACGTCAGTGAGTGAACAGACTGCTCAAAAGTGGTTCAGCCAATTTTCTTCCAAACATGAGAGTTTCTTAGACAACCCTTGTGTTGCACATCCATCCACCCTCAACAAAGTTTAGTTGGAGGAGGAAATTGAGCAGAATCCTCATCAAACTTGACAGAAGCTTGCAAATAGATTTAGAGTATCTTGTAGAACCATTCAATCACATTTTCATAACCTTGGGATGACAAGGAAACTAAGCAAATGGGTTCCTCAATCCTGTCCAAGGAAAACAAGCTCTAGTGCTTGAACATTTGCTTGTCATTGCCATCTCATAATAAAACCTCATTCCTGGACGAAATTGATATGTGATGAAAAATTTATCATCTATGATAACCAGAAGATAAAAAAACATCATTGGTCGACTTCTGGCTTGGTCACATTGACTGCTAAACTGGACATTCACCAAAAGAAGGTAATGCTGTGTGTTTGATGGATCAGTGCTGCCATAGTCCACCATAAATATCTAGAAAGTGGAAAAACCATAAGAGCTGAGGTCTACTTTTCACAGTTGCAAAGAGTTACAATTGCACTACACCAGAAGCAGTCAATATTGGTCAACAGAAGAGTTTTCCTGCTCGATAATATCTGGCCTCATATGGCAAAAGCCACCAAAGATGTGATCAAAACAATATGCTGGGAAGTTCTGCCTCAGCTACCTTATTCCTGGCCATCTCTCCATCGAACTATTACCTGTTTTTGGCCATGAACCTGTGCGAACAGCAGTTCCGAAAATCCGATACTGTCGCAAAGGCTGTATCACAATTTTTTGACTCCAGGAAAAAGGATTTTCTCAAAAAAGGCATTTATAAGCTTGTGTCTCATTAGGAACATATACTTGAATCATTGAGGTGATCATTTCAAAGAATGAAATGGGTTAAGATTTTTATGTGTTGTTTTTGATGAAGGACAAAAACCACACAAACTTTCTTGGTTAACTGGTAGAATGGATTATATTTTCAGGACAATTTACAAAACAGAGTAATAAGAATACATATGTTGCCAGAGAAAGCTAAGCGGGGGGGGGGGGGAAAGGTCTGCTCAGTGATATTTATAAACTTGGTTCCTTTGTTTAAATTTTGAGCTCTGCGACTGGATGAGAGCCATTTG